AGCAATACCTGGAGAATTTATAATATTAGTTTGGCACCCTCCGGCGCGCGACTGCTGAATCTGGTGGGGGAGTATTGTAGGGCCAGTGAAATGTCACTGATCCCTAGCCAAATCATCCGGCAGTTGGATCACTGAATCTCGAACAGATCGTCGCTCCCTGCCAAGGTCATGTACAACCAACACGCATTAGTTAATGGTATGCCATGGACTGGCCCATGCAGCAGTGGTCTTACTTTCGCTTGTATCTACTTTAACTAATATATTTCTGTAATAACGTCCTTTGTGTTGTACAGTCTTCAAAGCATCTATAGTACCTTGTTACGTCAATGGGGGTAGTCCACGTAAGGTGCTGACCACGAGGTGTGACTTCGACGTTAGCTGGTTTGTCACACCATTCACGTCTAACTCGAGTAGGCCTCCAATCATTTCGACATAGATCATCTACGTTGGTGATCTACATAACCAATGGTTGGAGACTCTTGGTGACATGGATCAGAATCGATCACAACGGCGTAGGTGTATACACTCTCTGTCTTCCCTTAAATTAGGAGATTAAAATCGCTTCATATCTTTCTTCCTGTACTATATCCTTATATGCAATCTTTCTTTTATATATTACCACCTCTGAATTAACTACTTTTATGAATCCGTTGTTCATCTCACTGTGCTGATGCGGTATGCCAACTTGGGCCGATGCATATATGTGCCCGGTCCTACGTTGTAGTTGACTGACTGATAGATGCCAAGTTACCCCTAGTAGACTGGCTTATTTCACGCAAAACAATTGGCTTTTTAAAATCACACTGTTTTATATTTTCTCAAGCAACAGTGTTCTAGTGGGGTCTACTAAAGTCGAATACTAATGGCTCCTTAACTTTCGATTTTTACAGTGGTTCATCTAAGACATTTTGCAAATAAATTAGGTGCTTTCCTTCCAGAAGAGTCTTTATTTGCAAGAGATCTAGGTGTCTTGGTAACACGTGGTCTAAAATCTTATTCTAACTGTGCCTTTAGAGTCATTCAAAAGCTATTAAATTTAAAGAGCAATTTTTGTCGTCTCGATAAAAGAGCATCACGTTCAATCTTCAGCATTTTAGTCAGACCCCGCTAAGAGTATGGTAACATCATGCTTACTCCTTCACTCCGAAATGAACAAGGATACTCTTCATTGAATTTAAATGGGAGACATGAAATGCATTTGTTAAATGAAATTCAAGCTTTAGGCGAAGCGCGTTAAATCAATGAGTCTTGCTTATCTAAAAACACTCCTTGCGCGTATATTTGCTTCATATGTCTAGATCCGCGCTTGAAGGCATTAGCAACACTGATATACTATACGCGACCTCGTAAGGTGAAAACTTCTTACTTTCAGTTCACAACCAATTGGACCATTCGAACGATTCTGGACGGAATCGAAAAAGTTTTTCGCTTAACGGACTTCTGTATCTAATAGCAGAGGATCACTGATGCCGCCAGTTAGGAACCTAGGTATATTTAATTAGCAAGAGAAATTTTAGTAAATTATGGTGAAATAATATCATCAGTCCCTAGGGGCATATCACGTTTTCTCTTAGAGGACTCATGGAAAGTCGCTTGAAGTAGCTTAGCTGGTCACGAATTCCAGAATTTGACAGCACCGTTCTGCTATGTCGTACCTCCAACCTCTGGGTGTCACCCCGAAGTTCATGTTGGGGCTGAGCTTAAGCAGGTGTGTAAGATGATGCTCAGGAGTGTTTAGAATACCATAAGTCATTGGAAAGTCACCTCTAAGACGCCTGTACTCTGTGTAAAACTTCAGTGATTTGAGACTCTATTCATAAGGCTTGAATTTTCGAATTTTACTACGAACATTGAGAAAAGTATGCGAAAATGAGGGGAGCGACCCTGTAAACTGGACTACAGGTATACCTTTGCTCATCACGAGAGTAGAGATCTTGGGATTCGCCACCCTTTGAAGTGGTCTGAGAAATTCTCCTGAAGCCTTTAAAGGCTTCCCCAAATTTGGGGAATCTTAATGTGAGGACTCAGTAGCTGAGTATATAACGCGATGGCGTTTGGGCTGAACGTTACTGGGTTCGAGTCCCGTCTCGAACATCAACACTAAGATGCAGGCACATTCAACTGACAAGTCCCAAACAGGACGAAACGCGCGTCAAGGTTCTTACTGCTCGTCCCTACCCATATTTGCTTATAATGCTTGTGACTTGAGGCAATAATGAGGCAGTCCGCATACATGCCAACAAGAGACTGATCAATTTCAGCCCTAAACAACAATCGGGAGATACAAGCAAACAATAACAAGTGAAAGGAAATCTATGGGTTCAGTTAGTTTCCCAGTGAACTCTTTTATGACCGAAAACCCCTTTCTTTTTACTTTGAGTTGCTTATCAACTAATATACTTGCATGGAAGCAATAATAAGAATTTTAAATCGAATACAGTTCAACATGCATATATAGAAATAATTTTTTGTAAGTCAACTAGATTTGGTGTAGCAGGCAATCGGTTTAGGTCGTTCAGCAATCTGAGAGATAAAGTGACGATAGATTCTATGAACTGAGGGCTTTTACAGGTTCATATACTAGCGGCTAGCATTCAACGCATATAATCTGTGCCGAATGATTGAGTGGTTATTTCAATTGGACGGGGATGGTACGACCAACCGGTTAACATCAGTCACATCGCGCAGTTAGTACCTAACGTGGATTACCCTTTCGTCTCGTCCATGTGCTACAGCTGCTTTGATGACGGTACAATACAAACGAAGTTATTACATAAATATATTTGCAAGAGTATGTGCAATAAACAGAATGCGACCACTGCTGTATGAGCTAGTCCATGGTGTGCAATTAACTAATGCAAACTGTTCGACACTCGATTTTCGGATTTGGCTGGGGCCCAGTGACATTTTACTGACCATGAAAGTTAATAATCACACACATCCTCCACGTATTACGATAATGTGAACAAAAATTCCCACTTCATTTTTAGTCGCCACGTACGAAGTCAAAACTGCGAACGAGAGTAGAGTTTATCTTCATCCGTTCATAAATTATCAACCAACAATAATAAAGTAGTTTTTCACAGGTTGTGTTGAGTAAACATAAAATGGGACGTCCCTAAATTTTGTGTACAGGACTTCATCTACTTTGATTGACTAGTCTACTTCTGAATGAAAAGTGAATAACTTATTTCTTACTGTTCTGGCCTTGAACAGTTGTGTTATCTCGTTATTTTTATTATCTGAAGTAATTGTTTCATTTAGCCATTTGAATTGCATATTTGTATTCCAATAATTTTGTTGGTTTAAATTATGCTTAAAAACCCTACGATTCCAACTCTTTTAAAGGGATTAGAACACTTGTATGAAAATCCAAAAAGTTATAGTTCTTCCTACAAGTATAAAATTAGTCCAGGAAAATCAACAGGAGTCGCGTACAAGTTTAATGAAGTAGCTAAAATTAGCAAGTAAGTGATGGTAAGTTATAGTTATAAGTCTAGTCATAGTAGATTGCAGTCTACAACAAACGCCTCTTTCCTGAAGTCTGATTATCATCACTAAATCCACTGAAATACCATACGAGCGTGACCGATAGCACCTTGCCTACATTTAACTAGATGTAGCTGCAAGTCAGCACGAAGCAAGTAGATAAGTTTGCTTCCAACTCTTGGTAACTTAATATCAATAAAATAGTCGTTCATTTACGTTGGTCGTCCGTAAATAATCAATACTCACCTACTCGTAATTCTTAATGTAATACATGATTCACTGTTACAATTAAGACAGGATTTGTTAGGAAATTTAGAGTAAGCGACGTAACTATTTGGAAGCCTAGAAAACAGACGAAGAGTTCCGTTCGGGAATACGGTTTCATTATGGGAAACAATATTAATTCTAGGTAACAAAGCACTTGACAGATTGACAAGCTGTTACTTTGCTTCCAATCGATAAGTTGACTAGGAATTCTTTTGGAAGCCTGTATATCGTTTGGCTTTAAATAGCTACTAAAACCTGTAGTTTATCGCGAAAAATTATTAGGAAATGACTGTTCACTTTGACCTTTTTGTCACTAGGAACTTATCTTGGAGTTATTAGATCTATCGATTGAAAAATGAACTAATTTCAAGTGCATTATTTTGTGCTCTATATATTTTTCTAGATGAAGAGAAATGATAAGCTACTTAAGTTATTTGTACATTACATGACGAGACAACTACTTCATGTTATTCTGTATCAAAAAGTATACGATATACACCTGCAGGACAAGTTATTCCCCAGGGTTTACTATATCATTTCGCACGACGTGAAAACCAATATGACCGAGCCTTGCACCAATGCGTGTAATTAAAGAATCCACTTCCAGAATCCCTCAGAGCTGTTTCTTTATTATGGATTAAATTTTCATCGAAACACAAAAACCCTGTTTGGCCACGATTAACTCTTTCTCATTCAAACTGCTCAACTCAGTTATATCAGTGCACAGGATGAAGACTAGCGGGCTTAGGCTATCACAACTGATTCCCAGACCACCTACCTTACTGTGATGTGTCGTAACTAATATTTCACTACTATATGATTTAACGAGTCAGTAGCTCCATCATCTGACGCTATGTCTGGTTGGTCAAAATTCAACTGAAGGTTCAGTCCTGTAAATTATGATGTCGAAACCCCTCGTTCGATGCTCGGAAAACTAGTCACATTGTTAGTAGACAAATTCATACATTTCATACTACTCAGTGAACTCGGTAAATCGACTTACGAAACACAATACCAACAAACGACTAATTGTGAGGGAAACTCGGGGTCGCTGTTTTCATCCCACACTATTCCCGATATACAATATATATAGAAAAATGAATGCAAGTAACCTTTCAAATTTATTGGAAAACTAGAAGGCTGTTGTAGGTCTTCTTGTTGTAAACCTTGGGTGGTGAAGAGGACGAGCCACACGATGGGGCAGAGGGAATTTCAATTTGCTGTCGTGGAACTGAGTGACGTACGGACGACGGCATTTAGATGCTGGTATCGACTCCACTTTAATCACTTGGATAGACTCTGCTCGAGCACGATGACGAGCACCCATTTCGCGGTATAATTGAGTGACGGCATTCTCCTCTGTCAATGCGCGATATTCCTTGTACATATTATGCGTCCCAGAACGACTATCATATCTCAGCCAAATCCCAAAATTTTTGACCATTAGTGGCTTTCTTGGGTGTATCTGTGATGAAAATCATAGTAAACAATTATTAACACGTATAATATTGGGACAAGCTATAGCTGATGAGTATGAATATACAACTATCAGCCTCATTATACGCACCACTATTAGCTCAGATGAAAATCTGAGCCGGTAAAGGTGCAACTACAGCTTTACTCAGTAAGAAATATTTACCGTTACCAGTATCTAAAAAAGCATGATGTCGCTGCAAATTCACAGTTGGCTCGAGAGCAACTAATATCGACCATTCAGTTGCGAATATCTATCATTAAGGTAAAATATGGCTGATGAACGTGAATATATAACTATCAGCTTTATTATACGCACCACTATTAGCTCAGATGAAAATCCAAGCCGGTAAAGGTGCGACCACAACAAAACCCAATAGAAACACATTTACCGATATCCATGTATAACAAAGACTGACGTTCCGGAGATTCAATTAACCTTAGACTACCTATTATTACTCAAAAACCGGATACGAAACTAATTTATAATAGAAACTATCCTCATAACAAACTTGTAAGCCGTAGTTTCATTAATGTTCACAAAAGCAAGCGACTGGGTTTACGAAATGACGAACTGTCATATAATTAAGAGTACCCGTTCAACGGAAATGGAGAATCATAAGTTCTAGACAAATAATGTATAGTCACTACAAAACGGGACGGTAAAAACTTATCACAGTTCTAACGTCAGGTTATCACGAGTGATTACAAAGGCTGATGTTGAAAGTGACTACGTGAAAGGATTATGAAAACGGTTACGAGAAATTAATGTAAGGTGTACGTTACCACCAAATACCGACCATTGAATGGCTTAACGTTCCATACTGAAATCGGGATATAAATGATTGGGGTCATCAACAAGACATCACAACCGGTGGTAGACTATGACTTACTCTTTCACAAGAAATAATCTCACCGCTACCTTTCTTCATTTTTTTTAGCTTCCTGATGAAATACCAGAAACGTGATTTGGCTACAACCGAGTTCGGAGCGAATATCCGCATTCTGTAAGGTACAGGCTTCGGCTCTTTAGGTGTTGGGAGCTTACGGCCTACAACGGAAAATAGTTTTAGCTAAACCACACATCTGACATTGACTCATAGACATACCTCGCCACAGGCACGCATGACGCCGAATATTCGAAAAACAATCTCCTGAACCGTGAGATCAGCTAAACAAAACTTAACAAAATAATGGGATCTTGAATAAAAATAATCGGATTTTTATGACCTCATATTTTCGTTTTGAGAATATATGTATGGGACTGCATACTATGCTCTTACTAGTAAGCGTTTGTAGATCAATAATCATCTAAGTAAACCTGAGCTCTGAGTTGATGCATCAGAAACTGTAGCATCTAAATAAAGACATTTCTCCCGGTCAGGATATAGTCCACCCTGCTACAAGAATGAAGGGCATCAATCTTGACAAAACCATTTAGTTAATTGTTCTCACATTCACCTAGTCGACGCACAGCACCAGAAAATTGGACACTGGCTCACATCACACCAATTTTCAAGAGGTCGACATGGCGAATTTTCAAGCTATCGTCTGATAAAACTTCTCTCTATACTCTTAAAAACTGTGGAGCCCCTGATACGTGATGGTCTAATTACTATTCACAAATTTCTTTTCACCACAACACCACGGTTTCAGGAAGGGTCACTCCTGTATTGTTATTTTGCTGACCTCGGTTTATAGATCAACGAACATCTTTGATCGCCAGGGGAAGGTCGATGTTATATAACTTTACTTCTCAGAAGTTTGTAAAACAGTCAATCATAGATGTCATATTGATAAGGTCAAACGGTTCAGTATCACGCCACTGTTAATTAATTAGCTTACTTCATATCTCAATAATTGACATTTTAGTGTCAAGGTAAACTTCACTTTTACTTAGGCTACAGGATGTACTGATGAGGTCAAAAAGGGTTCAGTACTGGGGTCTCTTCTTTTCCTAATTTATGTAAACGTCCTTTCTCAGAAGGTATCGTATGCTTTATTACCTTTCGCTGATGATGTGAAACTCTGGAAAAAAGTTTGCTGCCAAGATAATCTGACTGGACGACCAACGTAAATGAACGACTATTTTATTGATATTAAGTTACCAAGAGTTGGAAGCAAACTTATCTACTTGCTTCGTGCTGACTTGCAGCTACATCTAGTTAAATGTAGGCAAGGTGCTATCGGTCACGCTCGTATGGTATTTCAGTGGATTTAGTGATGATAATCAGACTTCAGGAAAGAGGCGTTTGTTGTAGACTGCAATCTACTATGACTAGACTTATAACTATAACTTACCATCACTTACTTGCTAATTTTAGCTACTTCATTAAACTTGTACGCGACTCCTGTTGATTTTCCTGGACTAATTTTATACTTGTAGGAAGAACTATAACTTTTTGGATTTTCATACAAGTGTTCTAATCCCTTTAAAAGAGTTGGAATCGTAGGGTTTTTAAGCATAATTTAAACCAACAAAATTATTGGAATACAAATATGCAATTCAAATGGCTAAATGAAACAATTACTTCAGATAATAAAAATAACGAGATAACACAACTGTTCAAGGCCAGAACAGTAAGAAATAAGTTATTCACTTTTCATTCAGAAGTAGACTAGTCAATCAAAGTAGATGAAGTCCTGTACACAAAATTTAGGGACGTCCCATTTTATGTTTACTCAACACAACCTGTGAAAAACTACTTTATTATTGTTGGTTGATAATTTATGAACGGATGAAGATAAACTCTACTCTCGTTCGCAGTTTTGACTTCGTACGTGGCGACTAAAAATGAAGTGGGAATTTTTGTTCACATTATCGTAATACGTGGAGGATGTGTGTGATTATTAACTTTCATGGTCAGTAAAATGTCACTGGGCCCCAGCCAAATCCGAAAATCGAGTGTCGAACAGTTTGCATTAGTTAATTGCACACCATGGACTAGCTCATACAGCAGTGGTCGCATTCTGTTTATTGCACATACTCTTGCAAATATATTTATGTAATAACTTCGTTTGTATTGTACCGTCATCAAAGCAGCTGTAGCACATGGACGAGACGAAAGGGTAATCCACGTTAGGTACTAACTGCGCGATGTGACTGATGTTAACCGGTTGGTCGTACCATCCCCGTCCAATTGAAATAACCACTCAATCATTCGGCACAGATTATATGCGTTGAATGCTAGCCGCTAGTATATGAACCTGTAAAAGCCCTCAGTTCATAGAATCTATCGTCACTTTATCTCTCAGATTGCTGAACGACCTAAACCGATTGCCTGCTACACCAAATCTAGTTGACTTACAAAAAATTATTTCTATATATGCATGTTGAACTGTATTCGATTTAAAATTCTTATTATTGCTTCCATGCAAGTATATTAGTTGATAAGCAACTCAAAGTAAAAAGAAAGGGGTTTTCGGTCATAAAAGAGTTCACTGGGAAACTAACTGAACCCATAGATTTCCTTTCACTTGTTATTGTTTGCTTGTATCTCCCGATTGTTGTTTAGGGCTGAAATTGATCAGTCTCTTGTTGGCATGTATGCGGACTGCCTCATTATTGCCTCAAGTCACAAGCATTATAAGCAAATATGGGTAGGGACGAGCAGTAAGAACCTTGACGCGCGTTTCGTCCTGTTTGGGACTTGTCAGTTGAATGTGCCTGCATCTTAGTGTTGATGTTCGAGACGGGACTCGAACCCAGTAACGTTCAGCCCAAACGCCATCGCGTTATATACTCAGCTACTGAGTCCTCACATTAAGATTCCCCAAATTTGGGGAAGCCTTTAAAGGCTTCAGGAGAATTTCTCAGACCACTTCAAAGGGTGGCGAATCCCAAGATCTCTACTCTCGTGATGAGCAAAGGTATACCTGTAGTCCAGTTTACAGGGTCGCTCCCCTCATTTTCGCATACTTTTCTCAATGTTCGTAGTAAAATTCGAAAATTCAAGCCTTATGAATAGAGTCTCAAATCACTGAAGTTTTACACAGAGTACAGGCGTCTTAGAGGTGACTTTCTAATGACTTATGGTATTCTAAACACTCCTGAGCATCATCTTACACACCTGCTTAAGCTCAGCCCCAACATGAACTTCGGGGTGACACCCAGAGGTTGGAGGTACGACATAGCAGAACGGTGCTGTCAAATTCTGGAATTCGTGACCAGCTAAGCTACTTCAAGCGACTTTCCATGAGTCCTCTAAGAGAAAACGTGATATGCCCCTAGGGACTGATGATATTATTTCACCATAATTTACTAAAATTTCTCTTGCTAATTAAATATACCTAGGTTCCTAACTGGCGGCATCAGTGATCCTCTGCTATTAGATACAGAAGTCCGTTAAGCGAAAAACTTTTTCGATTCCGTCCAGAATCGTTCGAATGGTCCAATTGGTTGTGAACTGAAAGTAAGAAGTTTTCACCTTACGAGGTCGCGTATAGTATATCAGTGTTGCTAATGCCTTCAAGCGCGGATCTAGACATATGAAGCAAATATACGCGCAAGGAGTGTTTTTAGATAAGCAAGACTCATTGATTTAACGCGCTTCGCCTAAAGCTTGAATTTCATTTAACAAATGCATTTCATGTCTCCCATTTAAATTCAATGAAGAGTATCCTTGTTCATTTCGGAGTGAAGGAGTAAGCATGATGTTACCATACTCTTAGCGGGGTCTGACTAAAATGCTGAAGATTGAACGTGATGCTCTTTTATCGAGACGACAAAAATTGCTCTTTAAATTTAATAGCTTTTGAATGACTCTAAAGGCACAGTTAGAATAAGATTTTAGACCACGTGTTACCAAGACACCTAGATCTCTTGCAAATAAAGACTCTTCTGGAAGGAAAGCACCTAATTTATTTGCAAAATGTCTTAGATGAACCACTGTAAAAATCGAAAGTTAAGGAGCCATTAGTATTCGACTTTAGTAGACCCCACTAGAACACTGTTGCTTGAGAAAATATAAAACAGTGTGATTTTAAAAAGCCAATTGTTTTGCGTGAAATAAGCCAGTCTACTAGGGGTAACTTGGCATCTATCAGTCAGTCAACTACAACGTAGGACCGGGCACATATATGCATCGGCCCAAGTTGGCATACCGCATCAGCACAGTGAGATGAACAACGGATTCATAAAAGTAGTTAATTCAGAGGTGGTAATATATAAAAGAAAGATTGCATATAAGGATATAGTACAGGAAGAAAGATATGAAGCGATTTTAATCTCCTAATTTAAGGGAAGACAGAGAGTGTATACACCTACGCCGTTGTGATCGATTCTGATCCATGTCACCAAGAGTCTCCAACCATTGGTTACGACAGTCACGCGGACCCCAACCAAGTAGTCTGCATCTACCAACATGGCTCAGACCAGAAGTTTGTGACTTCAAGCACTGATGCCACGTTTTGGTTTGGCCGCCCCTAACTTTCTTCCAACCATCCTCAACGCCGGTTAGTATTGCACGTCGTGGTAATCGGTGTTCAGGCATACGCAACACGTGGACCAACCATCTCAGTCGATGGAGATTCACAACCTCATCAATTGATTTACCATCATTCCCTAATACCCTGCGTCTAACCTCATTATTACTTACCCGGTGATCCCAGCAACATTCCTAAGGCGTATGTGGTCAAATACTTGTAGCTTACGAGTATCTTCAACCCTTAATGACCATGTTTCGCACCCTTAAAGTAAAACAGAACGAACTGTCGTGCAATATACTCGTCCCTTAGTTGATGGACGGATATCTCGCCTTCACCATAGGTGACGTAAGTTGGCAAAAGCCAAAGAAGCTTTCCGAATCCGTGCTCAGATTTCGTCAGACACCGACCCATTAGGGCTGATCAGACTTCCAAGATAAGTGGAGTTGTCAACGTGTTCAACTACTTCACTCCCTATCCTTAGTTCAGGTGTTGACGTAGACCAGTCCTGAAACAACAACTTGCATTTAGAGGGAGAGAAGCGCATTCCAAACATTCTGCTATTGTTGCTCAGTGCTACCAAAAGATTCTGCATTTTATCAGTGTCTTCACTAAACATGACTATGTCATCTGCGTATTCTAAGTCGATAAGTGGACCTCCTGGTAGGAGACCAATACCCGAGAATTCAGTCGACGAGAATGTTATTTCCATTAGTAGGTCTATGATGAAGTTAAACAAAAATGGAGAAAGTGGACAGTCTTGACGGACACCACTTGAGGTTGCATAATCAGATGACAGTTCGCCATAAGCTCTGACTCGACTAGTAGTGTTCGAGTAAAGAGCCTTCACAAGGTTTATGTACTTCTGAGGTACGCCACTCAATGACAGACACTGCCACAGGACCTTTCGATCTATAAAATCAAATGCTGCTTTTAAGTCAAGAAAGACCACCATCGTCGGACGCCGACAAACATACTTGCATTCCAAAATATGACGAATGATGAATAAATGGTCGATACAGCCACGACCAGGTCTGAAGCCTGCCTGATTTTCTCATGTTTCCAGTTCACGAGTCTTTGTTAGGCATCCGGTAATTATTGAGACTAGTATTTTAGATGCTATATTAGTCAAACTAATCCCTCCATGGTTATTACAGGATGACTTTGACCCCTTCTTATATAGTGGGACAATCAGTGATCGCAACTAGCCAGATGGGGTTCCATTCAGTTCCCAGATTTTAGCTAAAATATTAGTCAGCCTAGTCGCTAAAACCGGACTACCACCCTTAAACACTTCTGGAGTCAATCTATCTGGACCAGTTGCTCTTCCTCTTTTCAGATTAGCTATGGCTTTCTGAACTCCAGTTATAGTCGGGGGACCTACTTCAATGTTCCATTCAGGCTGTTTGGGAATGGTGGGTAGTTGTATAGTAGCTGAACTGCTCTTTAAAGTGTTCCGCCCGCCGTTCTAAATGTCTGAACTGAAAGGAGATGAGAGTATTTTCTTTTTCCGAGATAGTCTCACTTACAATCGACTTAATAATTCCAGTTTCTTTTATTAGTCTGAAAAGCTGTCTGGTGTTACCTACGGTCTCTGCCTTTTCCATCTCTTTTGCTTTCGTTGCCCACCACTGCTCACTATCGTTCCTTAGACTTTTGGTTAACCTATATATGATTTGTTTCCACTCTTTATCGTGTTCGGAGCCAGATGGGATAAGTTCACGAGAATCTACCAGTGCAATAGACTTAGTGGAAATCCATTGATTTTTCGTGACCTTTTGGTCCAAATCACTAATAGATGTCACTGCTGTTTCCACAGCTGTTTGTATAGCTTTCCAAGCAACATCTGGGTCAGCCTCGTTTTCAGAACTGCCTAAGTGTGACCTCAGTTGTTCCTGGAATCTACTTTTGGCTTTTCGTCAATGAGTCCAACTCTAATGGGTCTTCCTTAATGTGGTTTTTCTGCGTCCAGCGAGGCCCAAGCAAATGTGTGCTCGTATTAGAGCATGATCGGAGTCCAAACAGGTATTTCAAAACAAGCGACAGTCTTCAATCGAGCTTCTCCAACAATGACTGATGGCAATATGGTCTATTTGAGTTCATCGTTGGTTCGGTGCAGGGGGTCTCTTCTTATTCTTAAAATTAGTGTTTTCTAAAATAAACGATCGTCTGGGCACAGTTGCAGTAGACGACCACCATTATCTGTTCGCTGTGCTAGAATACTAAAATACCCACCTAAATGTCTTTCTGTTTTGTTTAAGCTACCTACTTGGACATTAAAGTCACCTCCTACGAGTACTATGTCTGCACGTTTAGCTTTTTGAAGAAGTTCAGAGAGCTTTCTGTAAAAGTCATCTTTCACTTCATCCGAGCTGCAGTCAGTGACAGCGTAGGCAGAAACAACGTATGTCTCTATCCTCCCGAATTCTTACGGAGCCGTTCCGCTGAACAACACATAGACGACTGTTAACGGGGATCCATTCTAATGGCGCTTGTTCTGCCCTCGTCCTCAGTGCTATGTCTACACCCGTCAGTCCACGAGAACTAGCCATCGGGTCGCCAGATAAACGGAGGGTGTATCTCGTCGGCTCTCCGTTTCGCCGAGGTGAGGTCAAGTGAATGATCACACTAGGATTCTGTATGTGTGTTTCGGAGACACAGCGTACATCAGTGGTATGAGATTCTAGGGTTTCAGCTAAAGAGGATGCGTGCGTTGAAGGCTTCAATGTGTAGTTTGGAGCGAGGTTCCAGTAGACCTGGGGCAGCGTTTCGCGCACTAGAATCGTTGTACATGGTGACACTTGAGGAGAAAGCCGAAAGAGGAAGTTTAGAGTTAAAGGCCAATGTAGGAGGAATAGTAGGAATTGAGGAGGGAGGTTGATTATGAAAAGAGTGGTCTTGAGTGCTGTTAGAGGCATGAGGGCGGTTATCACTTCCCGGTTGCCCACATCGTAGGTTTCTTCTGGAGGTACCTGAAAAGGAAATTGGGTTAGAGGTGGTCTTAGTGACCTGAGAGAGTGACCGCAGCGTCCAAGGGATAACTGCTCGAGGCCGGTCGCACACGACCTTCCTGTGAGTAATTTTCGTTTTAGCTCCGCACTTGTTGAGACTGTAGATCACCAACATAGATTATCTATATCGAAGTCACATCTCGTGGCCAGCACCTTACGTGGACTACCCCATTCACGTATCAAGGTATCATAGATGCTTTGAAGACTGTACAACACAGAGGACGTTATCACAGCAATATATTGGTTAAAGTAGATATAAGCGAAAGCGAGACCACTGCCACATTGGTCAGTCCATGGCATACGATTAACTGATAGGCGTTGGTTTTTACATTCGTCCATTTCTAAGCCCTTTTAGACCCGTAAACCGTTGTCACGTTATTTATGATTCTAGATTTATCATTAATTAATTGTTTCTCTTTTAGTCATGCTTTGTGTCACTTTCAACTAAGTTATGTACACGTTGTAATTCACTACTAGTGTTAAACTAGTGTCAAACATTTCAGATGTATTATCTCATGGGTTTTGAGTCATGATTAAGTGGATTACAGCAAAGAACTAATGTATTTTTTATCTGTATCTTCTAGTCAGATGTTCGGATAGGGGTAGCTTGTGGACTATTGTGCGTGAAGGTTTCACTGTTGCCCATCGATCAATGTTTCAGTTGTTAAATAAGGTTACTGTCCCTACTGTCAGTATAGGCGAACTAATTGATAGTCACTTTGGGGAGAGTTATCATGCAACTGATCCCCTGTAATTACGCTCTGACAAAAGGCTCCAACAATACTTATCTATGTATGTGTCTTTCCGACTATATCACACATTTACGATAGACTGTGTAGATCTCACGAGATTAATTTGATTGCAGTTATTCTTTCGATCCTTTTTATATGACACTCGAATTTTCGTCAAAATCACAATTTTCCTCTATTAACCATGTTTCTGCAAGTTAGCCAGATTCATATACTAGCTTGTAATTTGGCTCTAAATATCAGCGTGTGATCATTTCACCACTTAACTTTGTTCCTATTTTCTGTTTCTGATGTTCTTTTCTACAAAATTACTCTTCACTGTAAAAACCAATACAGGAAATGATTTGATGTACGAGTGACCGAGTCTATTCAATTTTTATAAACCAACCAGTAGATTTCGAGGAATTAAGGTTGAATTTTAGTTAGGTGTGACAATTAAGCACCATTTGTTTGATACCTTTACCCAGGTAAATCGGTCTTTCCCCAAGATTTTGAAGCTGACGAAACAGACTTCCAGACACATTCTTGATCAGAGATCAGCATAATCCAGCCATTTGAAATGTTAAAATGAGATAGTACGAAATGGATCCAAAACGAACAGTATCTAGTTTGTTTCAAGTAAGAGCTTTCATAATTATTCTTCAATCGACTCTGTTAATTCGACCTGATTTAAAAATAATACTATTCACCCATACTAAACAAATAGAACACTGCTAAGCCATCTTATTAAATTGTCGAATCAAAAGTTGGCTTGACGATTCGATCGATGAATTTCTCAACTAATTGAATCTCGATTGGATCGTAGAGTAATATGTGCGTCGTGTTTATGATGCACAAATGACTGTAAATAGTGTGGTTGTTTATACAGTCGATCATTATTCGATAGTTGGCTATTTCCGAATTCGTCAGCAATGCTAAATGCAGTCACTCTTTAGCTTCTATCTCCATATTTATCATTATCTGACGAATGGTGACCAAGTAGTTGAATTTCGATCGTTACAGAGAGTGTGAGGACTTCTTAGTGTTGTGAAGATATTCTGAACTCATTGGCACATTAGGTTGCTTTAGTTTAACAAATGAACGGTACTAACGAAACAGACACCATACTCAACTTCGTATATCTCCGTCAGTTAACGACGTAAATGCAACATAGAAGTATAGATCTGAATACGAGTGTCACCAATATGTACACTCATTTTACCAATAAGATGAAGAGAAACAGATGTGAATTGTCAAGGCAGTAAACCCGACTCACTATGCCTAAGAATGAGTTGTTTGTGTGTGGAAATACAAGTAGCGTGTGGAATCTGGACACTTAAGAGGACGGATAATCGATAGGACTAATGCGCAGGCATACTTTATTTATTTATTTGAACACATAAATATTGATGCAAGGGGCACTAAATATATATACGCTACACAAAACAATGTGAATGGGAAGAGAACTAAAGAAAATAAGAAGTGTATAAGAGAAAGAAAATAACGATCACAGAGTTGTGTAAGGTAGTGTAATAATAATAATGGGGGAAACAGGAAGATTCAACCACTTTTTGTGAAGAAAGTAAAAGAAGGTCCCAGCAGGATCGCTACTGGCTTCTGTTCTGAGCCATATCTGATAACATCTCTAGCCACTGTGTTGCACCATCTCTAGGACCCCAGCCAATGAGTCGTGGAGGACCAACAGAAGCCAGTCCTTTTCAGCTTTCTTTCATACTACGACACCATGTCATACACTGACCACCTCTCCGCTTTTTCCAACCAGTCCCAAGGTCGGTAAATAGTGCACGACGTGGGATTTTCTGGGACGACACTCGTAGAGTATGTCAAAGCCACCGGAGTCGATGTTTCAGGATGGTGACACCAATTGGATCATCGTCTCTGTGCCCGAACACATGATGCCGAACCTCTGCATTACTAACGTGGTGTTGCCACTGAATGTCAGCAATCCTTCGGAGACAACGATGATCGAACACAGAGAGTCGTGTAACACCCTCAACTCGGAGAGTCCAGGTTTCACAAGCATAGAGCAAAACTGTTCTCATTGACACGTCGTGGATCCGACCCTTTACAGCCAGACTGACATCACGATGGCGCCAAAGGTGGTATAAGCCACTCTGGCTTTCACTATGGGTTCATTGGCCTCATCACTCACGCCACCACCAGCACGTATGCAGCTACCTAGATACACAGACTTCTCGACTACTTCTATCTGCTCACCATCCAGAGTGAGTACAGGATTAGAATCCTGCCAGTCTTGTAGAAGTACTTTGCACTTCAAAGGTGCGAAGCACATACCGTACCTATGGACATTGACAACTGATTAAGTGCGGATTGCATGTCGCACAGTAAGAAAATATCATCCGCATACTCGAGGTCGAGAAGTCTTCCTCCAGGCAACCGATCCACACTGCCATTACTTACATCCATAAGAGCTGTTTCCAGAATGTCATCGATGGCAAAGTTGAAGAAGAATGGTGAGATTGGACGACCCTGCCTAACCCCACTGCTTGAATGGAACAGTGGAGAGAGGTGGTTGTACGTCCTTACTCTGTCTGAGTTGTTTGTATATAGGGCTTTTAGGATGTTAATAAACTTGTCAGGCACACCCTTCTTCAATAGACAATCCCAGAGAACAGTCCTATCCAACGAATCGAGGGCAGCCCTGATGTCAAGAAACACTACGATTGTTGGCCTGTGATAAGTTTTACGGTGTTCTAACATTTGTTAGAGGGTGAAGATCTGATCAATACATCCTCTACCAGAGCGAAAACCATCCTGCCCCTCGCGAGTCAATTCTTCGTCCTCTCATTTTCGTAAACAACACTCCCGCCACGAGAAGGCAGTGAGTAAAACTTTCCTGGCAGAAGCTGTATATGCGTGGCCGTGTAAGAGCATTTCGAGAGGGAGGGCGGTCCCTCTTAACTCTCGGCCATACCAGGTCATTTGGGGGCATGCGCAGGCATACACAGACCAAGCACACGTAAAAGCCGCTCACAGTTATCAATGAACAATTCACGAAAGCATATATGCGAAGATGGACAAAACGTGATATAAATAAGCAGAGATAGACAATAATGTATACCACATTATGGGTGCCGTTACAAATAAACATTCGAAGATTAGGTAAAGGCACACGTCTATTTATATCGGTAGGTAATGATAATTCATGATATGCTTTTAAATCAGACTAAGTATTCATGATGTAAGCGTGCATGGATCGCTCTCACTTGGGGTGGACATCTGAGTTTTCCTCCATGGAAGCTTCGCAAAGCAGTCCGTCATGCGAGTTCCGTATGACGATTGTGATGATCTCATATACACAATAGTGTCGAAGATGGTTCTTCAGTGTTCCTCTATCCACACTGCCGAGTGCTTTTCACAACCAGGAAAGTTGATGTTTAGCGAAAAGTTCCACTCATTTGATTGTCCATCAATGGCCCACGGTGTCAAGATTCGGTAGGTGCACGATCTATTCTTCCAAAAGCCATTCTATTGATTTAGAAATCGGGCATCAGCTGAGTCTTCCATCCGGTTCAGTAACATTATTAAAATCTTAACCCGGTACTGACAGCAGCGTGATCCATCTGTAGTATTCACAAGTAATAAAATCAATTTCGCTCGTTTGTTTATGAGGCATTCATCGTTTCATTCTGCTGATACTTGCGTTTCCCACAAATGTTTCTGAAGGAAACGCCAGACATTTTCACACTTGTTTGCGTATCTGACATCAATGCTGACTGATCTTCCCACTTCACACTTCTTGATTTTTCTGACAACCTTGCTAATTCACCCTATTGTTGGTTAAGCTTCATTGTGAAAGGCTCTCTGTGGGCCCAATAGGTGCTTGATGGGTTCAGTGGCGTTGATCTTTGGAAGAGATCTTCAATGTTCTATGTGTGCCTTCAGCGTTTCTAATTACCAGTGATAAGTTCAGTTTCTCTCATGTTGGTTGGTGTCTTTCGTTTGGTGTTTTCTATCGGGCAGTTCTATATTTTTTTCTTCTTTTGTCACTTGTCGTTCTATATTTCTCAGGTCTTTAAGATTGCAGCGGTAAATAAATCCTCAAACTAAATAGCTCTATAAGTCGTCGTTATTGGATGCTGACCACATTAGTTTTAGTGCACTCACCTAGGTGAAGGCTCTCGGTCCTTCATCTGCACCAGATCACGAGTGGGAACGCCGTGTCTCAACCACCCCTGCAATCGCTAGCCAGATTAGACCAGACAATAATCGATATATTGATAGCTTATCAAACATATCTTGAAACCTCTTCGCTTCTGTCTTTTGATTTCACTTGGTGGGTAAGATTCATGATGGAAGGTGTTGCTGGTTAAAGCGTTTTCAAACTCCGTATACCTGTGGCATCTTCACTGTATTTCTGCTTTCTAACCCGAATCGGATCAACTCTTTTTCTACGCTTATATATAAAGGACTGTGTTCTGACTTTTTCTGCTATTGTTTTGCCCGTTGGTGACGAGTTGGCCGCCGAAATCTTCTTTTGACATCTTCCTCAAATTCGCTTAGTTTGTTAACATCTCGAAGGAAGAGTATATTATGCCATGTAACGCCGTCTGTTAAATTTCACAACGGTTCTTCAGATTTAGCGTTAGCTTCTCCACCAAACGTTTGTTGGTTAAAACCATATAAGCTCCTCACTAGATATATATGTCTTCGTAGACCTAAATTTTTGTTAATTAAGCATGGTTGGTCTGGTTTTCATAATATATTCTGGTGTAATCCATATATCCTTTGTGTAAACATGTTGCTGCGTGTAGTCATTTTGTTGGAAGCACACAGACCAACCAGATTCTCACCGTTCGGACTCATTTCTTTCTATTGATATCACTTCATGATTTTTCGTAACCAACGTTATCCATTGCGATCTTGCCATTCAGGTTTCGCACTGTGTTGTGGAGGAATCCTTAACTCAAGGCACCTTTTCCCCCTTCAACGGGGTTGGGAGTTGGTAGTAACTCTACAAGAACTCGGAGTGAACAACTGGACACGGACAAAATACAACATTCTGTTCCATTGTAATTGACTTCTTTATCTGCCCTGGGGTCACTGCATAAAAGACACTTGTGAGCCGCCATCGCCTAATCCAGTTGTTTATGAATCATTTATAAATATACCCAAAAACTGTTTAGTTGACATCGAATCCTTTACTATATTTGCTTCAGTCATGCCCAATATGGAGTGCATCCTGGTGACCTTTAGTAGACCTAACGGTAAATACTCTGTCGAAACATAAAGTTCAACATAAATTAAACACGAAGTGCGTAAATAAAATTCAAAATACTCACACAACTGTACCTCAGGTAAATATAGATAAGCCATACAAAATTGTGCACAATGAAGTTACTGTCAGACCGATGCCCGTAGTTTTCTTTCTAGGATTCACCCTGAGCAGGATATTCTATTTTCTCTCGAGATCACGAAAGAGAACTCATCTCAGGAACATTTGCATATACACTACATATTTTCTACTGTGTGATAAGAATTCAATCTAACATGTCCACAGCATATATGATCATATGCATCTCTAGTTCTATCCTATTTTTGTTCATTTTTCTCATGTCTGTCTCTATTTCTCGGCGTAATGAGTTTTTGGTCATCCTCTCCTCCCTTGGCTTTAAAAATAAAAAGTGAGGGCTTGTCTTGTGACACAGTTGGGTGCTTTTATCAGTGTGTGTCCTATCCACTTCCAGCGCTTCTTCCTGATTTCTCTTCACTGCATTGTCCTCTCCCACAGTAGTTTGTCGCTGATAGTGTCTGACCAACGGATCCGAGGTATTTTGGTGTAGACAACTGATAATAAACACTTGTATCTTCTGGATGATGGCTTTCGTAGTTCTCCAGGCTTCCGCCACGTACAGTAGAACTGTTTTGACATGTGGTGTTGATTGAAAGTTGTTTTGAGTTCCAGACGTTCTTCAGTTGTAGATATGCTGCTCTTGCTTTGCCGATCCCCGTGCCTTCACATCTGAATCAGGTCCACCGTGTTCATCAACGATGTGAAGGTCTTTACATCTTCCGGATCTTCTCCGTCAATTGCGATTGGATTGGTGCATGCTGTGTTGTATCGGAGAATCTTGCTTTCCCTTCGTGTATTTTGAGGCCTAGTGCTGCTGAGGCTGCTACTACACTGGTCGTCTTCTGCACTTGTTGTTGCGTGTGCGATAGAAGAGCTAGATCGTCTGCAAAGTCTAGATTGTCCAACTGCATCCTAGATGTCCACTGTATCCCATGCTTCACTTCAGATGTTGGTGTCTTCATGATCCAGTCGACCACCAGGAGAAAGAAAGGGTGAGAGTAAGCAACCTCGTCTGACGTCGGTCTTTACTTTGAACGAGTCTGTTACCTGTCCCGCAGGCACGATTCTTCAGTCTAATCCATTATAGGAATTCCGTATGATAATGACTATCTTTTCAGGTATGTCGTAGTGTCGAAGAAGCCTCTATAGTGTTGCCCTGTCTACGCTATCGAGTGTTTTCTCGTAGTGAATAAAATTGCTGTAGAGTGATAAATTTCATCCAATTGATTGTTCCACAATGATCCGTAGTGTTGCAATTTGGTCTGTATACGATCGATCCTCACGGAATCCAGCCTGTCGGTCTCGAAGTTGGGCGGCTGCAGAGCCCTTCATTCTGCTTAGCAATACCTTGTTGAAGACTTTTCTTGGTATTAAGAGAAGAGTGATGCCTCTTTAGTTATCACACTTGCTGAGATCACCTTTCATTCGTATCTTGATGATGTGTCCTTCTTTCCAGTTTGTTGGTACTTGTTCTTCGTCCCAAATCTTGCTGAAGGGAATGTGAAGTTTCCTTGCAGTTACTGCTACATCTACTTTCAGCGCCTCTGCTGGAATGCTGTCTGGTTGTGCTGCTTTGCCGCTCCTGACTTGTCTGATGGTTATGGCGATCTCTTCAATTGTCTCATGTTCAGCTTTGAGGATTGTGGTTAGGACCCAATGTCACCATATAATTACCAATGATTTGTGCAAACACAGTTCTATATCTGTCTTTTCTTCCACCCTAACATTCGAATTTCGCTTGAGTTCGTACTGCTGTTGTTATTTTGTCATTGCTATCATGATTGATCCTCTGACACATTAGATATTCTTTGCTCCACCTATTTTTCTTGCCTCGCTAATTTCCTTATACACATACTTTATAATCAAACATTCGAAGTTTATAATTGAAGTCACATTATTTTGTGTTACACCTAAACAAACTGTCTTTTCAGGTTCATTTTATCTTCGCGACGTATATATGTCCCATACAAATTGATATGTGACGATAAGTCTCTGCAAATAATTAAGGCTTTCACTGCATCATTCTAAACTATTACTGCCCAAACTCTTATTCTACCTTCAAACTTTACAGTAGTAACGACCTATCTATTCTTTGAATCATTTTGTAATACATTTGTTTCCGCTTATTCTTATTCTGTTTCACAAACGCACTTGTTAGATTAATACATATCTTGCGCTTCCCTCGATCATCTTTTCCCATTTTTTCCCTTAAGTCAACTCAACATTCTTCTAAATTCTACAGAACCTGCTTAAGTATGGCGGGTATTATGCAAAAATCATTAGAACTTGCGTATAACTGCATTTCTGAAGAGGCCCAAAATAGTCTTCTTTCAAATAATAATTTACTAATATGCTGTGTGTGGATAATGACAATAACATACAAAATCCCAGATGTGATTGCAAATACAGCTAAAGAGTTTAATATTTACTGAAAATTATATGGGCCAAATGATGACCTATTTTCATTTTCCGTGTTGTTTAATCGTTTTTACACTGTTCGAAGTGATCTAAAACCACTACTTGAAGCCGACACGCATGAATGATTGGTATCAAGTGAGTTGAACTAGTTTACTTCAGAGATACTACATTTTTGACGCCTTTGTGTTGAAAGTTAATGGTTCTGGAATACAGAAAAATGAGAAGGAAAACCATCTGAGAAAAGCCGGCTCATCGCTGAGATATTGGGTATCTAAGTACCACACTTATCATTAACCTAATAGAATACTTGTTAACTACTTACTATTATTATTCGTCGTATTAGTACTATCATTATTTTGATCTATCATTTTCTCTTCCTATCTTGTTTCTTAACCGTGTTTCCTTGAATTTTGCCCAGTCATTTATCAGTTTGATTAAGTCCCATGCTTCTCTTTGTTTTGTGGCAGGTGAACAACCAAAGTATTTGAATAATGATGTAGATGTGAACTCAAATGACTTAAGTAGGTAAAAGTTAATGACATACACAAAATGAATGTAAAAGAATTATACAGTTATTTGGAAATGGTAAGTGATTTCATGTTTATTAGGTCAAAATAAGTCTAAAATTATAACACGTAATTGCTGGGCCCTAATTGTCAAATGAGACTAAATTTCAAGTTAGATAATCGGATAGAATAATGTCAGGTACACTAGCTGAAGATATCCAACATATATGCTAAAAGCCTGAAAAACGAACAAACTGAGAATAGCGTGCCAATCACCAGTGAATAAACTTAGAAAACATTCTATAGCCAAGAGCAAAAACTGTTGGAAGTCCGAACAATGATAATAAACGTCGAACTCAGTGGAACCAGATTAACTTAGCACTCAGACAAAAAGTAACAAAAAACGTGTGAAAGCTACCTAATGCCTGAAAATAAGAACAAAAAAATCATCCAAGTCATTCTAGCTTGTCACAAAAATATTGGATATTGGATCTGCTAGTGACTAAACCAAGTGTTGCGTTGCATGTATTACCTCGTGTGAGGTGGGGTCAGAGTGTGTTTTTTGTGTAAGGTCACACATTTACGTCTAGTTTATGAACTTTTGATCAAGATTCTTGCAACAGTATGCGTCATTATGATTTAAGTTGCCTTCAGCACTTTTATGATGATCTCATTAGCAATAAGCTTATAAGCATCTTCACTAATTGAATTATCTGGATTTTGCTTCTTCCTTTTTTTTCGTGGTTAATTAGACTGTCATCCTCAGTTCAGACAGGCCCCCGATTCTGTGGTAATTTCAGTTATTTCAGTGAGGGGTTGTAACTTTTTATTGATGTAACGAATTCGAAATTCATGCCAGCACCTGTATTTTGGAATCTGAAGCTGTCTTATTCTCGCACTGTTGTTAATCGCTTTCATCATTGAGTTTAGGCACATCTGATATACTCATTCGGACATTCTCAATATATTTGTCACGAGCTTGTATAAATCGATTGATTCCTTTGCGCTCGTTTATTTTTCCTATGCGGTTCCAGCTATTTGGTAATGTCCAGTAGTTAATAGTCTGGCCACTCGACTGCAGTAATCCCAGTCAGTTTGGTAGACATTTGTGGACTTGTATGTTCTGTAATTTGTGTGTGCTTGTCACAGGGGTCGTAGAGCTTCTGTATATCAACAGCTATCATATTGCCTGGTAGGAGGTTTGTTAGTTGCAATGTAAAAATAATAAAGCGATAATTTGAGTTATAAGAGAAGACTATTGTTATAAGAGCAAATAATTAAGTCATTTAATTTGTGTTTCAGGCGGTGTGAGACGTAAGGGGGAAAATGAGAGAAATGAAAATAAGAGAAATAGGAAGTATTACTGATATTCAGTAATAATAGTCGTGTTAAATTATAAAACATTCATAGACACAGCTGATCCAAGAGACAGATGCCAACTCATAGGTCAGTTTGTGTTTGTCAAGTATCGTCTGGAAGCTATCCACTTAGGGGGCTGCATTCACTTCGCTCAGGGGAGCATTTTAATCGGGAACAACTCTTAATGAGTAAATGTGAGAGCGTACCTGCGTGTGTTTTCGATTTTCAATCTCTCTAGGGTTATTTCGAGGAGGGTAGTGGCAATGTTCGTGTAGATTCTGTGTTAAGCTAACTTAGCGTATCTAATAAATCGTATACCATTACCAAACCACCTTTTATTCCCTTAAACTTCAGTAAGTATTCCCAAATGTTTGAATATCCTGGTTTTTAAGCAGATTGCCTAAAGTGTGTCGGCTAGTTTCGTGCAAACTGACCTCTAGGTTTTTTTCTTGCATAGCGTGTCCCATTAGCTTGATCGTGGTCTTTGAGTCTTGTACTGCTGGTTGTTATTTAAGTTAACCAACACTAAGGTGTGTTCTATTTGGCTTTCCCGATGTTGTCTAACGAGGCAAATAATTCCTAAAGCACCACAAATCATCAGGCACAGCTGACTTACCTGCTGCCCTTGTTAAAGATAGTGGCGACCTAATTAAGGAACTGAGTGGGTTGTTTACGAAGGTCGGAGAACTAGAGAGGGTTCCAACATCATGGAATTAGTCGATAGTTGTCTTTTAAAAGGGTTCATGTCATTTCTGAACTAACTACCGTGGGTTAAGTCTACTTCCGGTCGCGTCCAGATTATTGGTTTCCATCATACTTCGTAGATTGTTCGAAACCTGAGAAATATTAACTCTCGAGGAGCAGGCTGTTTTTCTTTCTGGTTGAGGATGTTTTGATCATATATTCACCTTCCATCAAATGTTAGAACGCTGTCATACTTATTACACATAAACAAACCTAATTTTTTTTGACATTAGGGTGGCCTTGGATTCGTTGGACAGGACTGTTCTTTGGGATTGTCTATTGATGAAGGGTGTGCCTGAGAAGTTTATTAACATTTTTAAAGCCATATATACTGAAGCCTCATACAGAGTTAGGGCATACAACCACCTCTTTTCAAATTTCCCATCAAGGACATTCTGGAAACAACTCTGATAGAAGTAGTTAATAGTGGTGTGGATCTGTTACCCGAAGAAGGCTTCGACCTTGAGTATGTGGACTATATTGTCTTACTGTGTGGTGATACCCAAGCCATGCAGTTCGCACTTGATCAGTTGGTAGTCAGTATCCGTAGGTGTGGCATATGCTTTGTACCTTCCAAGTGCAAAGTACTTCTACAAGACTAAGCTTACACTCACCTTAGATAATGAGCAGGCAAATGCAGTCGAGAAGTTCGTATATCTGGGTAGCTTGCGTAAGTGCTGTTGATGGCATTAGTGATGAGATCCACTGATGTATAGTGAAACCCAGAACAGCTTATGCGAATCTGGGCCATCATTGGCGACTTCGTGATGTTACTCTGGTTGTAGAAGGTCGGATCTACAACGCGTCAGTGACAGCAGTTTTACTCTATGCTTGTCAGACCTGGCCTCCGAGTTGAGGATGTGAGATGACTCTATGTTTGACCATCGTTGTCTCCGAAGAATTGCTGACATCCGGTGGCAAAACCATGTTAACAGTGCAAAGGTTCGGCATCGTGTGTTCGGACACAGGGACGATAATCCAATTGGTATCACCACCTTGAAACACCGGCTACGATGGCTTGGCCATGTCCTACAAATGTCGTCCCAGAGAATCCCACGCCGTGCATTATTTTCCGACTCTGCAACCTATTGGAAAAAGCGAAAAGGTGGTCAGTGTATGACATGGTGTCGTGGTATGAGAGAAATCTGTACAGGACTGGTTTCTCTCAGTCCTTTACGACTCCCTGGTTGGGGTCCTAGAGATGATTCAACACTGATTAGAGACGTTATTTGACATGGTTTAAAATAAAAACCAGTGACGATCCTACCGTAACTCCCTTTTACTTTCTTCGTTAAAGTAAACGTAACTTCTTCAATTAGGATTCTGGTTGTATTTTTCTCAACTGAGCTATTTCTCCCTTGGTAATAATAATTATTCACTCATACACTCTTTTCTGTTCGTTGTTGTCCTTTTTGTTATACGTACTGTACATTCTCTATCTCCTCACAGCCTCATTGCTACTGTGTGGCGCATATGTATTTGGTTCCCCGTTATTCCAATGTCCATGCGTCCATATGAAATAAAAAAAATAGAAGTAGGGACATGGCTAAAAGTGTGATCTTGATTCGTTAGTTGGAGATTCAGTTTTGGTGATGAATTGAGTGATCCATGTTGTACACAATACTCTGACATTCATTTTCTGGTGTTGTCTTGAGCTTTCTTAAAATCCTGTTCGTAGAAACAAGGATTTTCGACTTATCAAACTGTGAATTAAGACCTTTTTCTCTGCTAGTAGTGCTTGGAGTTTTAGTATACATACTGTTGCAACACTGGCAGAAAAATCCGATTCAGGGCCTCTCCGCAGAAATATTAAGTAGTAGGGGCAACATAACCAACTTGAGCGGTTGGCAGAGATCGGACTAATCCACCACTCTTTCGTAAACCGAATTAAACTGAATTCCATTTGTTGGGGCTCCCTATGTTTATGTATGTGAACTGCGTAGGTTTTGGCTTGCGGGGTATATATATGTGGGTATGTACAGAGCGTACACGTGTGGTTTAGCAAAGCGGACGTAAGCTGAAATGTCTGCCCTATTTCTTATAAAATCTCTGGCCTAATCCTTTAGGTCGAAGATATAATAAAAAGAGATGGTAGCAAATACTAGGGAGAGGTGACCATTAATGTTCCTTGAAAGAGTGCTTATGCCTATAAGTATGTCATGAAGTGTAGGGTCGAAAGCCTTTTCCCAGCGATATGCACGTAATGCGTAAGTTATCATCACTCGTATTAAATGTTTCTAAAGGAGTGGTGACCATCTATCCTTCCAGGTGGGTAAATATACTTACATGTATGCTATGTGATGGATGAGTGAAAACTTGCATGTTACCGGTGTGGATGTAGATTATACTTACCCCTGGTGAGACACCTGCGTGCCTAGACCTAAGGGTGGGTTCATAAACCTTAGGAAACGGAAACCGTTTCTAGAAAAACCAGTCGGGTTCACCGGCTAAGGCTTGACCAACCTTGACACCATACTGTGCATATTACTAATTAGACTAAAGGTAAAATATAGGACAGTTTAAATAGGAAGTGCACAAGACGAAATTTTTGAAACAGACAAATGATGTACGTGAGTATATGCCACACAAGAATAGAACCTAAGATATACCAAAAATTGCAACGTTACCTTTGACCATCCTAGCAAGCGACTTCGCGTGTATTTAGTAACTTATCCACAAGTCCCGTGTTTGAAAATTAATGGATTTGTGCATGTTGCATTTGAAGCAACTAGTAAGAGAACAGTTGGTCGAGACATTTTCTTCCGTCATTCTGCTTACCAGCTTTCTGCCCTCACTCCGCTTTGCACGTTCTCCCAACAGTTGAAATACTTAAGTGGAAATAGCTATAATTAAACGGTTTGCCAATGTACAAGTTCTCAGTGATAACTGTCGATTACCCCTACTCCTCAACTAGTAACGTTTGAGTTCACAGAACTTATACTAGTTTTCATAATTTCCTCTTCTAGTATTCAATCCTACTTGTTATATCCAAATTGTTTTACAGGGTTATCAATAAAGTCGCTTCGTCAGTCAAACAGGTATGGCTGTAATCTCAGATATAAGGTATGTATGAATTTGAATTACTATTGTTTTAGAAAGCCAAAGACGCACAAAGGGAAAAGAGTCTTAGAGCGAAGAGCTCCTAAATTAGTAGAGAATGACAAATGCACCCTTGTCATAAAGGGTGGTCATACAAGTGACGTTGTTAATACGTTTCTCAATGATTTAGTGAGTCGTATGTATTTGTCTTTTTATTATTAGTGCGCTTTAAAAAAACCACTTGTTTACCGTTTAAAGTGGAAAAATAGAGTCCTCCCCTTCGAAGATTTATCATTTATTGTAAGTTTCTTTCATAACTGTTATATTTTGAAGGAGAAAATGTGTAATAAGTTCGACTGCTCAATGTTTGTCGTTGGGATGCATTCCAAGAAAAGACCGCATAACATTATTTTTGGAAGGCTGCATGATGGTGAGCTACTAGATATGTTTGAACTTGGCATAAAAATGTACAAACCGATATCGGATTGTAAAGTAACTTACAGACTAGTAATACTAACTCCTCATAAGGACAAAACTCTCATATATGGAGCTAAGCCCATGTTATTGTTTTCTGGAGAGTTGTTCAACTTAGACACAAAATATACGACTTTAAAATCTTTGTTAGTAGGTACGTTGGTTGTTCTGTGTTCGGATTTTCTTAGATCTTTTCAAGGGCCCAACAGTTGAGAAGATAAGAACATTAGGTGTTGAACACCAGTTCCACTTTGTTTTGTCGTCAGACAAGAATTTGTGTCTTCGCGTCCGGAAAATTACCCTGTCAACAAAAGGCAAAACAAACTCAACTGAACTCACTGTTCCACCTCTAAAGACTCCAGATGGTAAAGTAGTTCAGATTACACTTGAAGATGCTACCCCAAGTGCTGACTTTGATCTACGACGAGTATCTTTGCCGTCCGAGGTAAGTAACAAAACCCTCACATTTGATTCACTTTATATTGATTAGTTGCTTAGTAGTGACGAAAGTCACATTTGTCTAGTTCTTAGTGTTGATTGAGTTCTGTCAAATGAGTTAAAATTGGTTACTAGTCTAAGTGGTTTGATATCTTGTCCGTTATGTTCTAGTAATTGTAATCTTCGAAGTTTACATTTAAGACACTTTTTGTTATTCTGTCTGCTTCATCCGATTTCTTCACTTAAATTAAAATCATCGTATATTTTTATTCCTCGAATTCACATATTCTCAAATTAAACTATCTATACATACTGTCTTAAACTATCATTGCTTTGGAGAATTTGATGATAAAACGAAGGTTATCGGGATTATGTACTAAGTTTGTGCAATACATTTCGAACAATCTGGTCACACATATACTTGTTAAAACAAAAAATTAAGGGTTAACTAGAAAAATTAAAAGGTAAGGTGAAGCAAGGATACAAACAAAATACACGATGGGAAAACCAAACTGAATAATAAATCAGTATTAACAGGGTAGATTTAGGCTAAGAACCAATTGTCTTTGTGCACATAGAGGGGGAAGTTTCACTACTTCATCAATTGATTTGCCATCCTTACCTAGTACCCGTTTCCTAACAACGGCGTTACTTACTCGGTGGTTATGCGAGCAATACTTCGAAGACACCTATCATCGAATGCTAGTAACCTACGAATAGCCTCTACTCTTACCGGCCATGTTTCACAGTCATAAAGTAAAACGGAACGAACTGCTGTGCAGTAAACTGATCCTTTGGTTGGTAGACGCATACCTCGCCTACGTCACAGATGACGCAAGTTGGCAAAAGCTAGTCGGGCTTTGTGTATCCGTGCTGAAGTTTCGTCACACACCAGACCACAAGGGCTGATGAGACTTTGAAGATAAGTGAAGCGATCAACACGCTCAATTACTTCACTCCCTATTATTAGTTCGGGTGTCAATGCAACCCAATCCTGAAGCAACATTTTGCATTTCGAGGGGGAGAGTCGCATCCCGAACATGCTTGCATTGTTGCTTAGAGTGGTCAGAAGACTCTGCATTTTGTCAGCGTCTTCACCAAATAAAACTATGTCATCAGCATATTCTAAGTCAACAAGTGAACCTCCCGGTAGAAGTTCAACCCCTGGAAATTTAGATGAGGAAAGTGTTATCTCTAAAAGTACGTCGACGACAAAGTTGAACAAGAATGGAGAGAGTGGACAGCCCTGACGAACACCACTTGAGGTAATCAATTCTGATGACAGTTCGCCATAAGCTCTCACTCGACCAGTTGTGTTCGAGTAGAGAGCCTTTATAAGGTTAATGTACTTCTTTGGTACTCCTTTCAGTGACAAACACTGCCATAGAACCTCACGATCAACAGAGTCGAATGCCGCCTTAAGGTCGAGAAATACTACCATTGTGGGGCGTCTGAATGTGTGTCTGTGTTCTAGAACCTGACGTAGTGTGAATATCTGATCTATACAACCACGTCCAGGTCGAAAACCAGCCTGGTTTTCTCTAGTCTGCTCTTCACGAGCTTTAGTTAGGCGTCGAAGTATTATTGAAGCTAATATTTTAGACACTATATTAGTCAAACTGATTCCTCTGTGATTGTCACAAGAGGACTTTTGTCCTTTCTTATAGACTGGCACAATCAGTGATTGAGACCAGTCAGATGGGATTACGTCCAGTTCCCAAATTCTACCTAAGACCTCAGTTAATCTCATTGCTAATACTGGACCACCATCCTTAAAAATCTCAGGAGTAAACCTGTCAGGGCCTGCTGCTCTCCCTCGTTTCAGATTTCCTATGGCTTTTTCAACTTCGTAATTAGACGGAGGACCTACATTAACTTGCCATTCAGGTTGACTGGAGATCGTGGGAAACCGAAGTGTGGCTGAAGGCCAGTTGAACTGATCCCTAAAGTGTTCTGCCCATCGATCCAATCTCCTGGATTGAGAATGTATAATATGTCCATCTTTCTCTGAGATTGTTTCGCTAACAGTCGGTTTCCTAATACCGGTTTCCTTAACAAGTCTGAACAATTGTCTGCTATTACCTATTGCCGCTGCCTTTTCCATCTCTCTTGCTTTCGCTACCCACCACTGTTCACGATCATTGCGTAGACTTCTTGTCAGCTTGCGCTTAAGCTGACTCCGCTCTTCATTATGTTCAGAGCCAGGTGGAATGAGTTTCCGAGCATCTATCAGTGCGATAGATGCTGCTGAGATCCAGTGTTGCTCCCTAACCTTACGGTTTACCTTACTAGCAGATATCACTGCTGTTTCCACAGCTTTTCGGATATCATTCCATGCTGCATCGGGGTGGGCATCACATACATGGCTGCCTAACTGTTTTCCTAGTTGTTCCTGAAATATACTCTTAGCTTGACTATCATTAAGTAGGCCCTAAGAGGTTTCCTTGCAGCGTCTTTCCTACGTCCAGTAAGACGCAAGCAAATACGCGCTCGCACTAGAGCATGATCTGAATCTAGGCATGTGCTCCAGAATGAGCGACAGTCTTCTATCGAGCCCCTCCATCGGTGGCTGATAGCGATGTGATCTATTTGGGTCCAACGTTGGGACGAATTAGGGGGTCGCCATGTTAAAAGATGTTTTTCCTTATGCTTAAAGTTAGTATTTGCAAGGAACAGGCGGTTATCTGAGCATAGCTGCAACAGACGGTCGCCATTATCTGTTCTTTGAGCCACGACACCATAAGATCCACCTAGGTGTCTTTCCCTATCGCTTAGTTTACCTACTTGAGCATTAAAGTCACCGGCCATTATTACTACATCCGAGCGCCTAGCTTTTCGGAGAAGGTCGGAGAGCTTTCTGTAAAACTCATCTTTTACATCATCTGAGCTGCAGTCAGTGGGAGAATAGGCAGAGACGACGAAGAGGCAACGACGAGTGTCCCTATCTTTCCGGATCCTTACTGTTCCGTTCAGTCGGACAGCGCACAAACGACTGTCTACTGGGATCCACTCTAAGAGAGCTAGTTCTGCCCTAGGACTCAATGCTATACCTACGCCGGCGAGGCCACGGGAAGCAGAATCAGGGCTTCCAGATACACGAAGTGTGAATCGAGTCGGTTCTTTATTTTGGCATGGTGAGGTCAAATGAATGACGCTACTTGGATCCTGTATGCGCGTTTCGGAGACGCAGCACACATCGATGGCGCGAGATTCTAAAGTCTTAGCTAAGGAAGCCTGTTGTCCTATTTGGCACAGTGTTCGTACGTTAAAAGCTCCTACGTGTAGTTTAGAGCGTGGTTTCAGGAGACCAGGAATGGCGTTCCGCGTACTCGAATCGTTTGCCCTAGCGGTGCGAGGTGATAAAGAGACGTGAGGAGGGTTAGTCGGGGAAGAAAAGATAGTTATTAGGAGGTGTAGGAAGGTCTTGTGTGCTGTTACGGGTATGAGGGCTGATATCACTTCCCGGCTGCCCACACCGTGGAAGGGTATTTCTTGAGGAACCTGAAAAGGAAATTGGATTAGTGTTGGTCTTAAAGACCTGGGAGCGTGACCGCAGAGCCCAAGGGACAACTGCTTGAGGCCGGTCGCGCACGGCCCTTTTGTGGTTTTTTAACGTGTTAGCTCCGTTCTTCAAAGGGCCTTACCGCCGGAGACGGAAATCCGTGAGGTAAGGTGAGGTGTGACATTTTTAGGGTCGACCTTTTCTAACCCCTTCCTTCCTTGTGAGAAAGCAGCATCGCTGCAGATGCTGGTTGTCCACGGGAAACACCTTATTGCTGTCACACCCCTCTACAGTCAGCGGTACGACTTCGCCCTCAGACCTTGAGTTGCTGTTTTTGGTCTTACCGTTCTCCAATCGACCTGCCTGGTATGGTAGAACCTACAGGAACATATGTTCAGCCTATATAACTCGGTTTGGTCATCACGATAGGCAAGCCCGACCACCGCGTCAAGGTAGCAGCTACGGTCGAGGTATTGACATAAATCAGCATCTTACCGTTTTTTTTGTCAAACTTCTTTAATGTTTTTAAGGTGCATAGCACTATCGTAGTTCTTCGTTCATATACTACTGTGCTATTTTATAACTTCAAATGAGATATTATATCAAGTCAAATTTAGTTTTTAGAGCACTACTCCATATGATGGAATTATAATAAGATTGATATGACGGATGAATTAGAATATTTCCCTCTGCGATATACTGCCCTAGTACGATAATAAGACTGGATTGGATACTCGAACGATCCGCTCTACACAAACTAGATCACGCTATATCAGACACCTGATTCAAGACCAAAATAGAAAACCAGAGTAATACCAGACGATACTTAATCCGGCACAATTACAAGCAGTCACCCTTAGTGAGAGAAGGAAATCACATACCTAATAGTAAGTAAGCTTGTCGAGAAATATGGGAGTTTTCAAACCTAACCTAGGTTTGCTATGGTTCATTTGAGCTAATGATTAATGTTGATGTCATCTGTTATCATAAATAGGAAATTTTCCACACAGTCGTAACCGAAATATGACGGGCATTTGAATCTATAACAAATTCATAGTATTCGACTGGATTGTGTGCATACGATGAACAAGTGATGAATCAGTTTTGTGTTCAGCTAAATTTTTTGCAGCTATTCTAGCTAAACGTCAAATTTTAAAATGCAACCAATATTCCAGATTATCATACCTTTCAAGGTCTAATGTTTTGTTTAATCATGAGGCCTTATTATTATAAAGTTTTCACACTGAATGTTCATACAGTACTCGATATTTTTGCATTAGGTAATGAATTCCCAACTCTCTTGGGAAAACATTTTAATGATTCCTTTATACAAATAGGTATTTATCTAGCAAAATTACCGAATATTATCTAAGAAATCCAATTCCCATTATGTTTTAACCACACATTATAATTCAACTTTTTACTGCTATTTATGCACCATGGCAATATAAATTATAATCTGATATTTTCTTATTTCGTCTCCTGATTATATACTGACTTTTATTGATTACTCGTTGCAGGACAAATGGAAACGAGCTCATCGTGTACCCCCTGAAGTTATGAAAGGTGACAAAACGCCTAAAAATAAATCTGTCGATGTTTTCGGTAGCCGAATAGGACGAGTTCATGTTGGCAAGTCTTCTGAACTAGAGAATTTACGACCTGGATCTACCATCCGAACTGCTTTGACCGGGCATCGAAAACGTGGTTTTGAACGAATAAAATCTGGTGTTAGCAAATCTAAAAAAACATCAGTTCATAGTGACCTTAGCGTTAGCAAACGGCGTAAACTGTTTACTGATGCTTAACCAAATACACACTTTTGCTCTCAAAAGAACAATGTTTCGTTTGATAATGATGTTTATAACGTAGACATCAAAACACTTTAAGCTGGCAAAACTTGAAGATGATAAGGGAGTAAAAAAGACGGGAGGCCTAGAACAGTAGCAATTGGAAGATGAGAGATTCCGCTGATTACCGTTCTAAATTATGGAGAGAGCGCTTGTAACTCATATTCTTGTATTTCACATAGAAATAGCTATTAAGTGAACTTCGGCTGGCAAACCAAAAGAAATTTAAAACAGCTAAACTTTGGCAGTACTAAAAGTGCTTCTCAGGTGTTAAAATAATGACAAGTTTTAGACTTGTGGCAAGGGTTAGGAATTAGATGCTTAATTAATGAACCACTACAAACACACCTTTTACATAAGAGATAAGTAGTCTTCAGAAAACATATTCGGATTAGGATTCCTCATTGGTTTAGTTGTCAGAAATAATGCCTCTCGAGATATTTAGCACTAAAATATAGAAGTTGACGATTGCGAGATATAGACTCGTTCCTTTGGGACGCTAGCCACCTGAATTCGTCTTAGACGTATTTCTGACATTAAATAACGAGTGCGCAACCTGTAGTTTTTACTGCTGACCATAAACACTTCAAATATAGGTATAACTACTAGGGTTATTTCTCCACCTTCACTAGTCGCAATCCAATCTTTCTATCTCTTGCCTAAGTTTCAGTTTAATGGGGCAAATACATCGTATTGAATATCTGATTTCTCCCCATAGATTGCTGGTCATTTGGTTTAGAGCGAAACGTAAGGTCACAGATTTTGGAATCTGTTCTTGTGTTGTAGTTCAACAGTAAGCAGCAAACAAGCAAAAAATTTAATTCAGAATATTGATAGCAGCACAAGAATAAAACCAGATACTTAGTAGGAAAAGGGTAAATAAAAACTAAAGGGCACCGAAGCCAAAGATACGAAAACAGTCTGCCTTGCTGCGTGTAGTTTTGACTGCTTTGTCGCAGACTCCGATCAGGAAGTTGGCACTAGATACAGCTTAACCGCGGTCAACGACTTCATGGATTTATGCTGTCTTGTTCTGATTCCCTTTCTACCTCCTCCAAATCAGCTAGATGTCTGGGAATAAGCAGTGTCTTGGCACATACATGTCCAACCACTCAAGTCGACTAACGTCACCAACTGATTCACCATTTCCATATGCCTTCAGTGCTGCTCAATTTGTGATCCCAGCACAAGCAAGCGTAACTTTGGCGGCATTTTTCGATAAGAAATTAACAACTTAGGTAATGACTGATACTTTCATAGGTCATGTTGCGCATCCGTAGAGTAATACAAAACAGATAAGCTGGCTAGTACACTTATCCATGAAACCGGAGAGGAAGTCATCTGAACAAAAATCAGCATGGTTATCCGTTGTTTATACAATGTTTTTTGATTTCTAAACGTATCCGCACGTGGTAATGACCCTGGAGTATTTTCACTGACAGAATATCAGGGGACGGATAAATTTATGATTCTTAATATATTTGAAATAATATCAGGGAACCATCCACATGTGAAATGGGGTTATTTGTTGAGAATTTAGATGGTGGTTGGAGGTAGTCAAGTTTTGTTGACTACCTCCAACCATCATCTAAATCTCAATACATAGTGCCCGCAGTGTCGAGTCACCTAGACTGATGGCCACATTGCAACATGATCGATAGCATTCGATCTGCACTAATAAGGACTAGACAAGCATGACATTGATCACCATCCAGTGACCGATCAATTGTGGGGTTATATGTTTCTACTCATTAGAGCGTCTTATGTTGTAGTACTAGCTACATCTTATGTTATCGAATACTACCAAATGATGACTAGCAAAAGAATACTGGGCATCTAGGACAATTCAAATTTTATCTTCAAGAATAGAGGAACCTATCTTTCAAATTCTTATACTGACCAATGATAAGCCGTCAATGAAAACTGCTTCCCGATGACACAACAGATTCATATGGACCACAGTCTGGGTTGCAACTTATGAAGTAAATCATGTTGGTAAACTAATAAACGAACCTCCATAGATTAGGGAATCGTTTCTATTCTATGTAGTAGAAGTTAATTGTGGTCAAAGCACTGATGTGCTAGAATTCTATTGTAGGAGAGCTTCCAGAAGTTTAGGGATGACAAACTTGGTGATAACTGTTATCCAATCTACGTATTTGTCAAAAACTAGCTGTCCTGTAATCATTACGCATATGTGAAACATGGTTGAAGTGTTCGCCTTCAAAGTTTACTTTTATTTGGCATAGGCTCTGTGTAGCATAGTGTATTTGATATAACTCAAGTGAATGTAAAGGATTATCAGAAACTTATTACACATAGAATCGAGTTCTTATAATCTAAGATAAAAGGATCTTAGAGTACTTACTGTGCAAAATCCAGCACTACAAAATGTAGTGCTATAAAGAAACTAAGGTTAAGGGTCATGAGGATTCAGAGTGCAAAACGCAGATATCGGAATTCCAAGTGGTATGATTCATTTACAGAATTAAAAGAACCACACATTTATGCTGTCCAACCAATGTCATATTTACCCGATCATCATGACTCCAGCTTCCATATGTAATCCTAAGTCCAAGCTTACTTTCACAGCTAAATCAGAGATCTACTTGCATCACACCCGCTTAGGGCTCGTTTTGCTGACAGACAAATAGGAAAATGCACAACCTAGTTGCGTAAAAAGAATATATGTAAGCCGTAGTGTAGTCTTTAGTCAAGAAAAACGCAGTGGAGCATGGTTTTAAGCAAGCCGAAACTATCAACTGTCATCAGAATTATTCCATCGGTATCATTTTGAGACTACACTGAAACTTATCTACAACTGTCAACAAGCACATAAACTACAGCTTCCCTATTAAAAAAAACACAGCTGAGTCCTTTTATTATTTTCAAATTAGAGTCTAATGTACGTTCGCTTATACTGATCATTCTACATTTATAAATAGAGGAAGCACAAAAGCTATTCCGAAACTGGACATATTGTTAATCAGACTTATAAACATTTTTGCTAGGTTTTTTATTGTCCATGACTGACCAAAAATTGCCTTCTGCGAAATGCTATTTTGAGTACGAAAACGAAATATTCCATGCTTCAAACTAAGCCTTTGAAAAATAGCGCGTGGATGTTCAAACCATTAAAATATATCGTTTATTAGTATAGAGTTGTGGAGATGGTTGAGTTTTAATTGAGATCATGAACCGATCAAAGTTAGATCACCAATGAAAACTTGAAAGCACTGGACTACCGTTTCGTCCTAGTAAGAGACTCATCAGAAGTGCTTTCAGGTTTTCAATCGTGGTCTAGCACTGATCGGCTCATGATCACAATTATATCGTTTAGCACCCGAAACTTAGTTTCACCAAGCATGGAAGAAAATTCACATTATAATATATACAAGTAAAACAAAAAGGTTTTTATTACATGATCGACAATTCAGAAAAAGTAACCGATAAGTAGAAAATAAAGTTAAGAGATGAGACACTTTTAGAAGTAGGAAGGTATTCATATTTATTTTTTACATGAAGTCATCTGAATCATAGCCATCTTCATTTGTCCTCATTTTACTCTCAACAAACAAACGATCGTATGATCTTTTTTCTGCTTCTGCTGCACGGACTTTCTGTGCCTCAAGTTCTGACTTTTTCTTAGCAGCCAGAACAGCTTTTTCTTTGTTTTTAATGCGGATATCTCGCTTCTCTCGTTCACCTCTTAAATCAGGATGTTGGCATTGCTCTTTTGTTTTATTTAGTCGTTTTATTACATCACCATTGCGTTTTTCAACTACGATCTTTTGCACTGCTTTATTATTGTGAAAGGCTACTTGGCCAACATCCATATCATTGGTTTTTTTCAGGTTCTCCCATTTGGTATATACAACAGTGACATCGTTAAGTTTGCAACCCTATAAAAGCACATGTTTAAAAGTTGTAATATAGACAGAAAGTATTCACTAAAAAGAAAAACCACGCTTATAATACTTCAAATGTCGATATACCCGTCTTAATGAGCTAAAAATGCAAACTTGGGACTTTTTTCGCCAGTATACACACTATAAAAGTCTACGAGGAATAAACAATTGAATCACTATGACATTTAGGTGGAGTATTTTAAATGGTTTATCTTTAATATGCCAAAACTACATCTTACCAAATCATGTTCATCCACTTTATAGAATCGCATTGTAACAGTAAGCGGTCTGAGGAAGGATAATTCGAAGAGAACCACAGAAAAAAGAAACATTCCTAACTTTCTTGTAGGAAGTTAAATAAACCTAGCAAACTGTAAATGGCTTTTCAAAATAATGTTTGAAACCGACCTAAACTTATTGCAAATACAAGTGCACACGAAATGTACACTGCTATATAGTGATTTTAACTTCATATAAGAGTTGCGATCAAGGTGGGACCAGGCACATATATACATCAGTACAAGTTGCCATACCTTGTTAGCACAACAAGGTGAACACCAAATTCATAAAAGTAATTACTTCAATGGTAGTAATGTATAAAAGAAAGATTGTGTATAAGGATATAATACAGGAAAAAAGAATTACTTCGTAAAAAGAAAGGTATAAAGTAATTTTAATCTCACGGTTTAAGGTAAGACAAAGAGTATATACACCTCCATTGTGATCGATTCTGAGCCAATGCGTGTCGTGGTAATCGGTGTTCAGGTATATGTAACACGTGGCCCAGTCATCTTAGTCTATGAGGATTCACAACCTCATCAACTGATTTACCACCATTCCTTAATACCCTGCGTCTAACCTTAATATTACTTACCCGGTGAACCCAGCAGATGCCAGCAATATTTCTAAGACATCTGTGATCAAATACTAGTAAATTACGAGTATCCTATACTCTTAATGACCACACTTCGCAGCCATAAAGTAGAACAGAACGAACTGCCGCACAGTATACTCGTCCCTTAATTGATAGACGGATGTCTCGCCTTCGCCATAGGTGACGTAAGTTGGCAAAAGCCAAAAGAGCCTTTCGAATCCACGCAGAGATTTCAGCAGACACCAACTCATTACGGCTGATCAGACCTCCAAGATAAGTGGAGTTATCGACGCGTCCGACTACATCATTCCCTATCCTTAATTCAGGTGTTGACGCAGACCAGTCCTGAAGCAAAAACTTGCATTTAGAGAAGGAGAAACGAATCCCAAACATTCTGGCGTTGTTACTCAGTGCTACCAAAAGACTGCATTTTACCAGCGCCCTCACCAAACACGACTATGTCATCTGCGCATTCTAAGTCGATAAGTGGACCTCTTGGTAGATCAATGCACGAAAATTCAGTCGACGAGAACGTTATTTTCCGCACTAGGTTTATGATGAAGTTGAACAAAAATGGAGATAGTGGATAGCCTTGACGGAACTACACAAGGTTGCAAAATCAGATGATAGTTCGCTATAAACTCTGACTTGACTAGTTTGTGTACTTCTGAGGTACACCTTTCAATAACAGACACTGACACAGAACTTTTCGATCTATAAAATCAAATGCTGCTTTTAAGTCAAGAAAGACCACCATCGTCGGACGCCGACAAACATACTTGCATTCCAAAATATGACGAATGATGAATAAATGGTCGATACAGCCACGACCAGGTCTGAAGCCAGCCTGATTTTCTCATGTTTCCAGTTCACAAGTCTTTGTTAGGCATCCGGTAATTATTGAGACTAGTATTTTAGATGCTATATTAGTCAAACTAATCCCTCCATGGTTATTACAGGATGACTTTGACCCCTTCTTATATAGTGGGACAATCAGTGATCGCAACTAGCCAGATGGGGTTCCATTCAGTTCCCAGATTTTAGCTAAAATATTAGTCAGCCTAGTCGCTAAAACCGGACTACCACCCTTAAACACTTCTGGAGTCAATCTATCTGGACCAGTTGCTCTTCCTCTTTTCAGATTAGCTATGGCTTTCTGAACTCCAGTTATAGTCGGGGGACCTACTTCAATGTTCCATTCAGGCTGTTTGGGAATGGTGGGTAGTTGTATAGTAGCTGAACTGCTCTTTAAAGTGTTCCGCCCGCCGTTCTAAATGTCTGAACTGAAAGGAGATGAGAGTATTTTCTTTTTCCGAGATAGTCTCACTTACAATCGACTTAATAATTCCAGTTTCTTTTATTAGTCTGAAAAGCTGTCTGGTGTTACCTACGGTCTCTGCCTTTTCCATCTCTTTTGCTTTCGTTGCCCACCACTGCTCACTATCGTTCCTTAGACTTTTGGTTAACCTATATATGATTTGTTTCCACTCTTTATCGTGTTCGGAGCCAGATGGGATAAGTTCACGAGAATCTACCAGTGCAATAGACTTAGTGGAAATCCATTGATTTTTCGTGACCTTTTGGTCCAAATCACTAATAGATGTCACTGCTGTTTCCACAGCTGTTTGTATAGCTTTCCAAGCAACATCTGGGTCAGCCTCGTTTTCAGAACTGCCTAAGTGTGACCTCAGTTGTTCCTGGAATCTACTTTTGGCTTTTCGTCAATGAGTCCAACTCTAATGGGTCTTCCTTAATGTGGTTTTTCTGCGTCCAGCGAGGCCCAAGCAAATGTGTGCTCGTATTAGAGCATGATCGGAGTCCAAACAGGTATTTCAAAACAAGCGACAGTCTTCAATCGAGCTTCTCCAACAATGACTGATGGCAATATGGTCTATTTGAGTTCATCGTTGGTTTGGTGCAGGGGGTCGCCATGTTAGACGATGTCTCTTCTTATTCTTAAAATTAGTGTTTTCTAAAATAAACGATCGTCTGGGCACAGTTGCAGTAGACGATCACCATTATCTGTTCGCTGTGCCAGAATACTAAAATACCCACCTAAATGTCTTTCTGTTTTGTTTAAGCTACCTACTTGGACATTAAAGTCACCTCCTACGAGTACTATGTCTGCACGTTTAGCTTTTTGAAGAAGTTCAGAGAGCTTTCTGTAAAAGTCATCTTTCACTTCATCCGAGCTGCAGTCAGTGACAGCGTAGGCAGAAACAACGTATGTCTCTATCCTCCCGAATTCTTACGGAGCCGTTCCGCTGAACAACACATAGACGACTGTTAACGGGGATCCATTCTAATGGCGCTTGTTCTGCCCTCGTCCTCAGTGCTATGTCTACACCCGTCAGTCCACGAGAACTAGCCATCGGGTCGCCAGATAAACGGAGGGTGTATCTCGTCGGCTCTCCGTTTCGCCGAGGTGAGGTCAAGTGAATGATCACACTAGGATTCTGTATGTGTGTTTCGGAGACACAGCGTACATCAATGGTATGAGATTCTAGGGTTTCAGCTAAAGAGGATGCGTGCGTTGAAGGCTTCAATGTGTAGTTTGGAGCGAGGTTCCAGTAGACCTGGGGCAGCGTTTCGCGCACTAGAATCGTTGTACATGGTGACACTTGAGGAGAAAGCCGAAAGAGGAAGTTTAGAGTTAAAGGCCAATGTAGGAGGAATAGTAGGAATTGAGGAGGGAGGTTGATTATGAAAAGAGTGGTCTTGAGTGCTGTTAGAGGCATGAGGGCGGTTATCACTTCCCGGTTGCCCACATCGTAGGTTTCTTCTGGAGGTACCTGAAAAGGAAATTGGGTTAGAGGTGGTCTTAGTGACCTGAGAGAGTGACCGCAGCGTCCAAGGGATAACTGCTCGAGGCCGGTCGCACACGACCTTTCTGTGGGTAATTTTTATGTTAGCTCCGTACTTGTTGGGACCTTACCGCCGGAGACGGATATTCGTGGGATAAGGCGAGCTGCGCACTTTTAGGGTCGACCGTTTCTAACCCCACCCTTACTTGTGTGAAGGCAGCATCGCTGTCATGCTGGTTGTCTAAAGGAAACACCTTACTGCTGTCATACCTCTGTATAGTTAGCAGTACGACTTTGCCGTCGAACCTTGAACTTGCTGCTTTTAGTCTTACCGCTCTTCAACTGACCTGTCTGGTATGGTAAGACCTAGAGGAACGATTATTCCAACCAGTATAGCTCGACTGGTTCATCACGATAGGCAAACCCCACCGGTATCGAATGTAGCAACTTCTGAACAATACATTAGATTTGGGTCCTAAATGTTTCTTGGAAATAGGGTAGTCATAAGATTAAGGATGATATATTATAACACACAGTCAATAAATTTTAGTGGACTTCAACCTTACAATCTGCAAATTTATTTGATGTCGTACTTCCACTCTCTAGAACTCAAAGTCCAGAGTAAACGCTTATTGCATAGCCTCATCAGGTGTATATATTTTTATTTTATTATTTTATTTAAACACATAGACATTGGTACAAGGAGATAGCAAGTAGATATGCACCACATAAATCATTCGATTTGTGTGAGGGCTGGGATACTGCCCGGGTGCCCAAACCGAAGCAGGTGGTTTACTTAGGTGGCCACACCCGGAGCCTTTGACCTAAAGATCTAAAGGTGTACATTATACATTGAGAGCATGTGATGAAATATCTATGAACTTTTGTTGTGCTTTATCGTCAATCTGATATCAAACACAATAGTAAATTATAAGCCTGATGATATTCTTAATCATTAACGATAGACGTATTGATACCAGTCGTTACTTAACTAATGCACAATAAAGAGTTTGATATCACAGTTATAACCCTAAGTATAGACATCTTATTTGATCTCTTAGTGTATAAAGTGAGACTTAATACCAAGAATAGACTATGTTGAGTTGTATTTCTGCTACCTTGACGCGGTGGTCGGGCTTGCCTATCGTGATGACCAAACCGAGTTATATAGGCTGAAACATATGTTCCTGTAGGTTCTACCATACCAGGCAGGTCGATTGGAGAACGGTAAGACCAAAAACAGCAACTCAAGGTCTGAGGGCGAAGTCGTACCGCTGACTGTAGAGGGGTGTGACAGCAATAAGGTGTTTCCCGTGGACAACCAGCATCTGCAGCGATGCTGCTTTCTCACAAGGAAGGAAGGGGTTAGAAAAGGTCGACCCTAAAAATGTCACACCTCACCTTACCTCACGGATTTCCGTTTCCGGCGGTAAAGCCCTTTGAAGAACGGAGCTAACACGTTAAAAAACCACAAAAGGGTCGTGCGAGACCGGCCTCAAGCAGTTGTCCCTTGGGCTCTGCGGTCACGCTCCCAGGCCTTTAAGACCAACACTAATCCAATTTCCTTTTCAGGTTCCTCAAGAAATACCCTTCCACGGTATGGACAGCCGGGAAGTGATATCAGCTTTCATACCCGTGACAGAACACAAGACCTTCCTACACCTCCTAATAACTATCTTTTCTTCCGCGACTAACTCTTCTCACGTCTCTTTATCACCTCGCACCGCTAGGGCAAACGATTCGAGTAAGCAGAACGTTATTCCTGGTCTCCTGAAACCACGCTCTAAACTACACGTAGGAGCTTTTAACGTCCGAACACTGTGCCAAATAGGACAACAGGCTTCCTTAGCTAAGACTTTAGAATATCGCGCCATCGATGTGTGCTGCGTCTCCGAAACGCGCATACAGGATCCAAGTAGCGTCATCTATTTGACCTCACCATGCCAAAATAAAGAACCGACTCGATTCACACTTCGTGTATCTGGAAGCCCTGATTCTGCTTCCCGTGGCCTCGCCGGCGTAGGTATAGCATTGAGTCCTAGGGCAGAACTAGCTCTCTTAGACTGGATCCCAGTAGACAGTCGTTTGTGCGCTGTCCGACTGAACGGAACAGTAAGGATCCGAAAAGATAGGGACACTCGTCGTTGCCTCTTCGTCGTCTCTGCCTATTCTCCCACTGACTGCAGCGCAGATGATGTAAAAGATGAGTTTTACAGAAAGCTCTCCGACCTTCTCCGGAAAGCTAGGCGCTCGGATGTAGTAGTAACGGCCGGTGACTTTAATGCTCAAGTAGGTAAACTAAGCGATAGGGAAAGACACCTGGGTGGATCTTATAGCATCGTGGCTCAAAGAACAGATAATGGCGACCGTCTGTTGCAGCTATGCTCAGATAACCGCCTGTTCCTTGCAAATACTAACTTTAAGCATAAGGAAAAACATCTTTTAACATGGAGACCCCCTAATTCGTCCCAACGTTGGACCCAAATAGATCACATCGCTATCAGCCACCGATGGAGGGGCTCGATAGAAGACTGTCGCTCATTCTGGAGCACATGCTTAGATTCAGATCATGCTCTAGTGCGAGCGCGTATCTGTCTGCGTCTTACTGGACGTAGGAAAGACGCTGCAAGTAAACCTCTTAGGGCCTACTTAATGATAGTCAAGCTAAGAGTATATTTCAGGAACAACTAGGAAAACAGTTAGGCAGCCATGTATGTGATGCCCACCCTGAGGGAGCATGGAATTATCCGAAAAGCTGTGGAAACAGCAGTGATATCTGCTAGTACGGTAACCTGTAAGGTTAGGGAGCAACACTGGATCTCAGCAGCATCTATCGCACTGATAGATGCTCGGAAACTCATTCCATCTGGCTCTGAATATAACGAAGAGCGGAGTCAGCTTAAGCGCAAGCTGACAAGAAGTCTACGCAATGATCGTGAACAGTGGTGGGTAGCGAAAGCAAGAGAGATGGAAAAGGCAGCGGCAATAGGTAATAGCAGACAATTGTTCAGACTTGTTAAGGAAACCGGTATTAGGAAACCGACTGTTAGCGAAACACTCAGAGAAAGATGAACATATTATACCTTCTCAATCCAGGAGATTGGATCGATGGGCAGAACACTTTGGGGATCAGTTCAACTGGCCTTCAGCCACACTTCGGTTTTCCACGATCTCCAGTCAACCTGAATGGCAAGTTAATGTAGGTCCTCCGACTAATTACGAAGTTGAAAAAGCCATAGGAAATCTGAAGCGAGGGAGAGCAGCAGGCCCTGACAGGTTTACTCCTGAGATTTTTAAGGATAGTGGTTCAGTATTAGCAGTGAGATTAACTGAGGTCTTAGGTAGAATTTGGGAACTGGACGTAATCTATAAGAAAGGACAAAAGTCCTCTTGTGACAATCGCAGAGGAATCAGTTTGACAAATATAGTATCTAAAATATTAGCTTCAATAATACTTCGACGCCTAACTAAAGCTCGTGAAGAGCAGACTAGAGAAAATCAGGCTGGTTTTCGACCTGGACGTGGTTGTATAGACCACATATTCACACTACGTCAGGTTCTAGAACACAGACACACGTTCAGACGCCCCACAATCGTAGTATTGCTCGACCTTAAGGCGGCATTTGACTCTGTTGATCGTAAGGTTCTATGGCAGTGTTTGTCACTGAAAGGAGTACCAAAGAAGTACATTAACCTTATAAAGGCTCTCTACTCAAACACAACTGGTCGAGTGAGGGCTTATGACGAACTGTCATCAGAATTGATTACCTCAATTGGTGTTCGTCAGGGCTGCCCACTCTCTCCATTCTTGTTCAACTTTGTCGTCGACGTACTTTTAGAGATAACACTTTCCTCGTCTAAATTTCCAGGGGTTGAACTTCTATCGGGAGGTTCATTTGTTGACTTAGAACATGCTGATGACATATTTCTATTTGGTGAAGGCGCTGACAAAATGCAGTCTTCTGACCACTATAAGCAACAACGCAAGCATGTTCGGGATGCGACTCTCCCCCTCGAAATGCAAAATGTTACTTCAGGATTGGGTTGCATTGACACCCGAACTAATAATAGGGAGTGAAGTAATTGAGCGTGTTGATCGCTTCACTTATCTTCAAAGTCTCATCAGCCCTTGTGGTCTGGTGTGTGACGAAACTTCAGCACGGATACACAAAGTCCGACTAGCTTTTGCCAACTTGCGTCATCTGTGACGTAGGCGAGGTATGCGTCTACCAACCAAAGGACCAGTTTACTGCTCAGCAGTTCGTTCCGTCCTATTTTGTGGCAGTGAACCATGACCAGTAAGAGTAGAAGACATTCGTAGATTACTATTATTTGATCATAGGTGTCTTCGAAATATTGCTCGTATATCATGGGACCATCGAGTAAGTAATGCAGTTGTTAGGAAACGGGTACTAGGTAAGGATGGCAAATCAATTGATGACGTAGTGAAACTTCATCAGTTGAGATGACTGGGACACGTGTTACGTATGCCCAATCACCGAATGCCTCGACGTGCGATGTTCAGTGGTATAGGAGTAGGTTGGAAGAATGCTAGGGGCGGCCAGACCAAAACATGGCACAAGTCCATGAAGTAACTGACAAGTGGACTGAGTCATGTTGGTAGGTGTAGACTACCTGGTTGGGGACCGCGAGATGATAGAAACTGATGGTTAGAGACCCTGAATGGCATGGCTCAAAATCGTTTGCAATTGCGCAGGTGCATACACTCTTTGTGTTCTCCCAAATTTTGATCTCCTTATTCCTCCTTGTCTCTTTTTTTCTCTTCCCAAGTTTATTTCACTGTATTATACTCTTTAAATAACATCTCCAAACACTAATTTTCCTGATTACTGCTTATACTCTTATTACCTCTACCACCACGGGACTTGAATCGACCACTGCATCTCTGTGCTAATTTGGTGTGGCAACTCGAACTGATGTACGTACGTACGAAGTTCTACGTTGTTACTGACTGACTGAAAAAATAAAATGACTAAATTAGGAACCTTCGGAAACAAAACTTGGGTGGGAAAGTGCGAAACAAGAACAGCAAAAAGCCAACAACGGTTAAGACCAGTTATCCTGTTCTAATGGTCTTCAAATTTTTAATTAGACAGTTGTCATTGACTTACTATTTAAGTATGAACTCGTTTTTTTAGCGGGATATCTGTGCTACATACTGGCCAGGTCATAGAAATAAATACCATACACCAGGTGGTGGAAAAATGTATGAGCAGTGACCAACAACGCATTTGTTATTCTTTTAGTATTACTTAACAATAAATATAAATTTTTTACCTTAAAACATGAAGGGCAATAGAATTGAATAGACAAAGATAATTTAAATATTTGACATAATGCAATAAACCTGTTTATAATATGCTTTGACCTCACAAAGATATACTTGCTTCGCAAAACATTAGAATATTATTGTCATGAAAGGTAACTAGGCCAGAAACCGGAGTAAAGCACAGGCAAAAATCGAAATCTGCAATGATTTCATGTCTTAAAACTGAACGATAGAAATGAAATAAAGACTAACGGAGAGTATTGAAATGCAACCTAACAGTCTGATCAACTAAGGGATTGAGAAAATGGTACATAGTGCCGAACTTTTTGCGATATGTGAAACAACCTTGCTTTGGAAGGTAAATCCGTCCCCAGAATGATTTGAAAATTACAATGACCGTTAAAAAATTCGTATGTCTTATGATATAAAATTTGAAAGCATTTTCTGTGGACCGAAACGAAATCCGAACTAACTTGGATACTATTTTCCTTGACCAGTTGTGCACAGTCCTGTATAACGGCAGTGGGGACATCATCTAAGGTTTCCCCTCTTTAAGCCGAAGGTAAACATGAGCAGATGATAGAGCATCTACATGAAACCAAACATCTTCTGGCCATCCCCAACGAATAAGTTCATCATTTTCATGCTTATCTTCTCCCATGTAAATAAAGTACGGAGGTTGAACAAGTTCACACTTAAAGTGCAGGACCATAATTACTGGTTACCTAACCAAAATGTAGGGGACGGATGAAATGAACTTGCAACCGACTTCCAAACAGGACCGCGCTTCTTCACCACGACCTTGAACAGGCCAAATGACAACGTGCATTCCATATTTCAAATGGTTCAAATGGTTGTAGATGGAATAGAAGTAGCTTTCGCTTAACATGCTTCCGTGTCTAGTAGCAGTGGATCACCGATACCTCGAGTCAGGAACCTAGGTATATTAACGATAATAGAGGAAAAAGAAATCGGTAAATCATAGTAAGATGTTATTCTTAGTTCTTAAGAATAGGTCGAGTTTTAAAGGACTCCTGGCAAGTCACTTGGACTAGCTCAGTTGGCAGCGAATTCCAGCATTTGACAACCCTTAAGGAGTAGAAGCTGTATCTACAATCCGTTCTACTGTGTTGTGTCTCCAGTTTCTGGGTGTTACCCCTTAGGTTTGTGTTAGAGCTAAACTTAAGGGGATGTCCAGAGGTATTGGGCATACTATAAGCCACTAAAGAGTCACCTCTAACACGCCTATACTCTGATGAGTAAAGGTTTAGTGATTGGAGGCGCTCTTCATAAGGCTTTAATTTAAGTCTCAGAACTGATTTCGTGGCTCGCCGTTGGACACGCTCTAGAGTATCCTTGTCCTTTTGGAGTGAGGGAGGAGATCATATGTTTCCATATTCTAAATGGGGACGAATAAAACTGTAGAAGATTATGTGGAAAGTTCTGCCGTCAAACTGGTCAAAAATGCGCTCCAATGTTACCAGTGCAAGGTTTGCTCGAAAGACATTTTTGTCACGGTTAGCTTAAGACTTCAAATAGTAGGGCACAAGCACTTTTACGTCCTTTTCAACCTGGGATACTTCTAGAGAGGAGTTTCCCAAGTTGTAACTGTAGTCTGTAACATGTCTCGGATGGACTAACTTACATTTTGAAGTTTTAAAGGTAAGTCCATAGTCATCTGCCCAACTTTGAAGTCGAGTCAGATCCTCCTGAAGTGCCAGTATATCCTCTTGGTTGCATATATCCCTCCGAAGTTTCATATCATCGGCAAAAAATAATAACTCAGACGATAACTTTTGTGGAAGATCGTTTATATAAATCAGGAAAAGAAGAGGTCCTAGTACTGAACCCTGGGGGACCCCACTAGGACATTCCATAGCCTGGAAGTGAAGTTAACCCTGACCTTAAAATGTCAATTTTTTAAATATAAAGTGAGCCAATCAATTAGAAGTGATCTGATACCCAATCGCTTGAGCTTACTGATAAGACATATATGATTAACCCTATCAAAAGCTTTTGAGAAATCAAAGATGGTCGTCTATCTGTCCACTGCAGTCGGCAGGTTGTTTATACAAGAATGGTCGTTCCTGAAAACATGTTGTTGTGGTAAAAAGAAGTTTAAGGATAATAAATAGTTGTGTGTCGTCGCATATCAGGGACTTCATAATTTTCGAAGAGAAGAGCCACCGGTCGATAGCTTGAAGGTTCACTGTGTCGGCCTCCTTTGAAAATTGGTGTGTTGTGAGCCTGATTCCAAATTTTCAGTACTGTGCCTGGGCTTAGCTATTGTAAGAACATCACGCTAAGTGGCGTTGCTAGGACTGAAGCTGCTACCCACAATATAGCAGAATGAACCATATTCGGACCAGGAGAGGTGCTTTTCTAGGTGCTGCAATTTTCGGTACATCATGTCAGCGCTCAGGTTTACTTCAGAAAGTTCTGTGCAGTCGCAGATGAAGCTTTCATCAATATAGTTAACATGGGTTGGTTGAAATGTCCGAGAGTTTTGTTCAGGCAGAAGGTTAGCGGCGTCACTGTCGTTATGGGGCGGGCCATTAGGACCTAGCATTTGGGAAACGCCAGTTTTGGCTTGTCGAAGAGAGGCTGCATAACAGAATAAGCTTTTCGGATTAGAGACAAATTTATCGACAAGCTTTATCTGCTATTGAAGCCTGTCTTCTTATTGCTTTTGTGCATATGTTCTTCATATGTTTGTATTGCCAAAAGGCGCCGTTGTTATCAGTTCGTCTGTATCCCGCCTAACAGTGCCTTTTGTGGCTTAACAAACAAAGAGTGCGATTCTCGATGACTGTAGCTTACTTGTAGATTTTGGGGACCATTTGAGGAACGGACTGCTTATTATCACATAAGATGCTGTTCAGTAAGAAATTCCAACAAGCATCCACATCAAGTTTAGGGTGAACATCCCAATCCACCTGTTGTAGACAGTCCTATAAAGCTGACATCTTCAACCGTTTGAAATTCCAGGGCCTGTTGTTGCTGGGATATCTTAACTCAGTTTTCTGATAAAACTGAAGGCTATGACGGCATGATCGCTTCTCCCTAGGGGAGCCAAGATCAAGGTCAATTAGGGATCCTTCGTTTGAAAATGCTCAGTCCACGATCGCGTCGGCATCTGACTGTTTCTCCAACGACTTGCCGACTTCACATTTTCTAATAATCCCAGATCTACGGTAGGGTTGAAGAACCAAGCTTCAGTAGAGCTTTCACCTCCAATATACTAGTGTTCCGCGAAATTGAATTTAGGAAGATTAAAGTCCCTTAGAATCAGAATATGAGTGAATCCGAGACACGTAGAGCGGGATAACCCTTACAGTATACGATTGCCGTACTCGATGTCACCAGTGGGCTTCCTGTAGATGACTCCAACCAGACACCTCGAGATGGTAGACAGTCTAACTGAGCACCATGCGGACTTATTAAGATTGATAGACTTTTGGTCGTTCACTTGATGTACCTCCAGGCAGGATCGTAAGTATAAGGCTAACTCAACCTCAATTCCTATTTTTCTTTCATTGCGAAACAAAGACATCCCGGGTATTGCTAGCTCCTGGTCCGTAAACTGAGATATCCAAGTTTCAAATATTTCTATCAGATGAGCATTATTATCATTGCTGATTTTATGGAAAAACCCAGACCAGTGGGTATGATGGTGATTTCCCCTATCAGTGGAAAACTCCGATATGGGTGTTACGCATTTATGTGAAAAATAATTTATTATTAACGTCAATGTTTAAGTCCTTCAAGGCATAATTACAGTAAATGATTTTTTTTATCATATGATAATCAAGTTTACAATGCATTCCAGTATAAACGTTTCGTCCTTGTTTGAGTAAGCCAGAAACGCAAGGGATTGACAAGCGTTTGTAAATCATGCCTGCAAAAATGGCGTGTACCTGCCCTTACAGGAATATATTATTATTATTTGTACCACGCCATTTTTTCAAAAACCCAACCCTCATGCATATGAATTGTCATTATTGTCACAAACTTTGACTACTTCATCGGTCCAGCCTAACTGTAGCCAACTGTTTCTTTTAGAAGAGGATATGAGAGACGGGTGGAAGCCAACAGAGTGCCAAACTTGATGGGCTGCCACCGACCGACATTTTGGAGGTAGTTGAAGAAGTTAATAAATAGAATTTTGAAGAACTAAAACATGACAGTTACCAAAGTACGAACCCGAAGTATTAAATATCCTAACGATTTAGACGACGTTGTAGATTTACAAATGGACATTCATTCCTGCGATTACCTGGTGTAGTTGAAGTCATTGTTCACTTACAGCACCCGCCAGTATTGTTTCGTTTTTTCATCAAATCACATTTAGGAAGTACGGATACGGAGATTTCGCCACAAATAAATCTGTTAATGAAAGAGAAGCTTGATAGGATTGTCATTCGCATGATGGAGGTGCAGTCACTGTTCAGAAGACAAATGAAATCCTTAGCAATTTTCGTACGTTTATTCCCAAGCTCTCGATGTCCAACAGAAGTGCGCTGCGTAGTCACCACAATAAAGAACCCAGATTTCTGAACTCAGGAGTGCACTACCACATTGGATTGAAATCAAATTTTCTGAGGCTTTCATATATTTGGCTCCGCAAGGCCAATTTCGGCGAACTGAAATTATAACTCAACTATTATGGCTTGTCAGTGTCTAAAAGTATCGAACAACAATTGTAGCCTATCCTAGGTCGTCTTGTAGATTCGTATTCCAGTGGTATATTCTTGGCTGGTGTCTATCGTGGTGAAATAAAACCATCTTATTTCAACGAGCTGAATACACAGAGGCGAACAAGAGAATGAAGAGGAGTATTGGAGCTTACAACCAAAAAAGGGATAGCAACAACAGCTGAAAAATTTGCGAGAGAAGGAAATACGAAAAAACTATATGACACGATGAAGAAACTATGAGGGAAATATAAAAAACCAGTGACACCAGTCAAGAACAAAGAAAGGCATATGAGCACCGAGATTCAAGATGGGCAGAACACTTTGAGGAACTCTTGAACAGGCCAAAGTAATGCATGGAAGACAGTTGATAGATGCATTCCAAGTAAGGACCGGAACCAGATTGGGCTGCCTACTCTCACCCTGTTTCTTTCTTCTGGTGATTGACTGGATTATGAAGACCTCCACATCAAAAGGGATGCACGGAATATTATGGACAGCTTAGACGCAACTTGATGATTCGGAATTTGCAGACGACCTGGACCTTCTTTTCCACACACACCAACGAATGCAGGTCGAGACAAACAATATAACAGAAGCCGCTGCATCAGTAGGCCTAAACATACACAAGGGAAAAATCATGATCCTCAAATACGATATGGAGAACACCAACACAATCAGACTTGCTGAAGAAACTCTGTAAGTGATGGAATCTTTCATGTACCTTGGAGGCACCGTTGATGAACAAGGAGGATCATATATAGACATAAAGGCGAGGATTGGCAAAGAAATGCCTGTGTTCCTACAGTTGAAGAACATATGGAACTCCAAAAAAATATCAGTCAACATCAAAGTGAGAATCTTCAATACGAACGTCAAAACAATCCTACTGTACGAAGCTGAAACTTGGAGAACTACTACAACCCTCATTAAAAAGATGCAGGCATTTATAAACAGATGTCTACTC